CTTTTGCTTCCCCTTCATCTTACATTAAAATCCCCCGATTTCCTTCTTTTTACAAGACAGGGAAACAATTCTGAACGGACTTCAAAACCCCACGTGCAGTTTCATTAGTGTCGTACTTTGTTCATCCTCAACTTGGAGGCAATACCATGGTGTTCGCCACTGTAAAACTGCTGTAAACCATATCCTAACAGTGAACGCAGTTCAGTTTATCAACTGGACGCGAGCGGTTCCAATTACCACGATGCAACCATCCTCTCCAACTCGGAAATTCCTCCTGCTAGGGATTCGTAGTCGTCTAAACGATTCGACTGCTGTAGCTTTTGGCTCATATAGTATAAGAATTCATATTGACAGGTATGCATGCCAGAGCAACCTGCCTGAACAGTTAGGTCACAATCCGAAAAGTCTATATCGGCTTATGTCACAGCGCAAACCGACGAATAAGGGTTTAAACCTGATCACAGGGCTGGCCGGAGAACCTCTGAACAGCAATGAGGGAGCAGAACTGTTGAGCAGTCAATTTGACGAACAACTCAACCCAGTAATACATCCACTATCAACATCTAGTAATGTAACAAAGTCCCAGGACTGCGATACAAAGCTGACGAATGTGAAGATTTCGTAAAACTAAGTGTTTACGGAACTCCCAACACTGAGAATGCGAAAATCACCGGGCTGTGATGACATAAGACCGGTATTCCTACACAACTGTGCCGAAGTGCTAAGCATACCCATATGCGACCTGTTCATGCACTCTTTGGAAGTAAGTCAACTCCCTAATGAGTGGAAACGCGCCATCCCTTCACCAATCTTCAAGGGAGGAGACCGAAAAACCCGTGCAACTACAGACCAATAGCATTACTTCCATACCTTCCAAGGTACTAGAAACCCTGGTAGCGGATGTTGCTTGGGACCACCTGAACAGAAACAAGATCGTTCATCCTACCCAGTATGGCTTCAGAACCGAGCAGTCATGTGCCACAAACTTGATGACTGCTTGGGATGACTGGACCACTAGGTGGGACAACAAACAACCAGTTCACGTTATCTTCTTGGACTTGACCAAAGCTTTCAATAGCTCCCCACACTGCACCATGCTAGCCAAACTTGCAAAAGTGGGTATCACTAAGCCACTCTTGGCATGGTTTACAGCATACCTAGAGGACAGAAATTTCTGCACAGAATTCGCTCAACCTGGAGAAATGCAAGAATAGGAGTTCCTCAAGGAGCAATCCTTGAACTACTTCTATTTTTTTAATGCTCACAAGTGACCTTCTCACGAAAACCTCCTCATCTGTCCTCCTATTGGTCGATGACATCAAAACATGGAAAACGACAAGTGACGAAGAGGATCCTAGGATACTTCAAAATGACCTGTTGCAGCTGGAGTCCTGGTCAGCTGCAAGCGGTTTAAGCTTTAGCCTGGGAAAATGCAAGGTGATGCATCTTCGCACATCAGAGACGATGAAAATCAGCTACATTCTTAACAAGTATGCAGTCACCAAAGCATCCACGGAGAAGGACCCAGGACTAAACTTTTCAGACACACTGGATACTACTGGCATTTATAAGGGAATGGCAGCAAAGTCGGACGCCACTGTGCACTTTTTTAGAAGGCAGCCTGGACTGTTAACCTTAGACTTATTCCTTATGTATTTAAAACCTATGTAAGACCACACCCAGAGTGTTCAAAACGATAGCCCCCCCCCCCAGTACTAAGAGAGACGCAAATACTCTTGAGTAGGTGCAGAGAGGTGCGACAAAGTCAGTTATCGGACTAACAGGTAAACAAATGCACAGCGCCTCAGACAACTCAACTCGTTCATACTTAGCTATCGAAGGAGACGAGGTTACCTGATAACAGCCTACAAGATCATTCACCAGGCGAAACACCCAAATAGGACAACGTTACGGGTCCAAAACTGACAGTCCCATGGGAACCCCATTTGCACACCCCAGCACAGGGCGAAGACGAGAGTGAGATCTAACTTCTTCTCCCACGGAGTATGTGCCTTATGGAACGCTCTGCCGAAGGATAAGGTCACAGCTTTACCAGTCAGTCCTTCAAACGACTACTGGATGAGTATGTGAGCCCAAATGGCTTACCACGAACATTTGTCAGTAGCAACTGATGATACATCCTTCCACCCTTGCATTCCCCAACCCTAGTGTCTGCAATAAGACTCGATTCTCCTTCGTATCGTCGCAGTGGCACTATATTTGAAGGAGTTTACAAGGCCACTTTACATTACGAACACTAGCAGCCTACCGCTCTATTACTCTACAAAGTATGCATCCGTCCAATTCTAGAGTACTGCTCATTTGTCATAAGCAGCTTTCGAATAGGCGACAAACTAAAAATCGAAGCAACGCAACGTCACTTTACGTTAAGAACACTAGGAGCCGACTGCATCTCCAGATTCAACATACTAGGACTAGAATCTTTCTGGAAGAGGCGACTTAGAATGAATCTTATACTTCATTATGAACTACTTTGTAAGCAAATGCACTCATGCGGTCCAGGAATTAAAATAGTTGTGACATCTATTTACAATATACGTAATCACAAACAATTAGCCAAAACTGAGTGTTGTAGGACGAATGTGCGAGGCAATTTCTTCCTCAATAAGTTCTCTCACATATGGAATAGACCTCCTGAGGAAATACCTACTACAGGCTCATTATCATCTTTCGTTCTTCACTTAATAAGCTCCTCACAGATGATGAGCCTATCACTCGTTTGGTCACCATATATATACATTCTGGGCTTATGAAAACATACTAGGACCTCTAAACGTATCGATGAAGGCTATCATCAATTTCAAGTGTCTTCTGCCTTAATGGACTCACTTAGGTTGTTTGATTACTAGTCCGTCTGGTTGGGTTGTACAGTACAAATACATGGTCAGTATTTCCTCTAAGTCTACCAACAGAAACTGCTTATCTGACAACTCGCGCCCACTTCATATCAAAAGGAAAGGAACAGTTATTCTTATATGCATAAATTGAAGCTTATGTTGTTTGTATGATACTAAAAAGACAAAAACTCTGCTCCCAGTTTATTTTGCGTCGTATTTCACTGTCAAGTTTGTCCTTTCACTTTTTTTTCTTCTCCTTCTGAGTAGCAGTCTGACGAGAAAATCCTAAGCATTAATTCAATCAAAAAGTATCAACTTTCTGAAAATCCTACGTAATACGCAATACTGAAACTGATTTTAGAACTGTTCGCTGGCTTTTCCCGATTTCCTGTTATTGAACAGCTTCACAATGAGCTCACCTCCCTGCCAGTACCCTAAGTACTACCACGTACGAAACCCCAGGCACAATAACTGGTGTCCGTTTCTGGTCCATCATAATTGCAGCGGAAATCTGGATAAAAAAATCAAACCCGAGAGATCACTTTACCTGACGGCAACACATCCATAATAATGCTATGCAACAGATTTCTCAAAAGCTTCGTCTTGTATGAATCCATCTAACAGAAGTTGATTAACAGCCAATGCATCTCCTTGACAGTGCCGCATACTTTAATGCGAAATTCATCAGGTTTTACATACGTATAATGTTCACCACTGTTGAACGACGATCCTTCCAGTCTTTGATTACCTGCACCACAACGAATATTTTCGGCATTATCGGTCTGAACTGCTAGGAAAGATAACACGTGAAGAGTGAGAAATGCCTGAACTTATATATTCACCTGGATTAGATGATTGTATGGATACTTACCTACCCCTGAAATCATTGTAGTAGGTTATTTTTGGTCAGTAATGCTGCGAACAAGAGAGTTGCTGTTAAAATAGACGTTTATCTGACGAAAAACTAGGTTTTGCAGACGGGTCAATCATGTCGACTGTAACGACCAGTTGTTGATAAGTTTTCGTCTAGCCTGTAGATAGGTACGTTGTTGCAGGGGGCGTGCATAACAGTGTGAGTTTGGTGGTGGCCACGAGAATCTGGAAAAGAAAAAGAGGAAGGAAGAAAAGTGAGTCGACGACTCAGCAAGTACATAGGATGTACTTACATCTAACAATAAAAGATAACTGACAAACGGTAGAGCTGGACAACCAAGAGGTGAAGCAGTCTAGAAGTCGAAACTAAAGTGGATGAGTAAGATTTCGAGTGCGCTACAGACTACTCAAAGCGCAAACACCGAATATTGTACGGTTTGATGCTGCTTTAATGTGAAAAACTGTGAATGGAAGTGATCTATACTCAGAACGATGTGTGTGTACTGTGAAGTGATATTTTCTTGCTATTTTCATAACTTTTGGACACTTGATGTCATGATAGAGTTTAATATACTCCTTCTGTACCATTCGAAACTGCTCAAAACTTTGAGGTTCTCGGCACTTATCAGTTTGATGGCACCTGCAAACCGGCTTCTCTCGTGTCAAATTCATAATCGGAGAATAAAAGTATTTGTTTTTTAAAAAGTACTATTCACTCCTCTTTTTCTCATTCCCTACTGAGCCTATTTCTAGCACTTTTTAAGTAACGCTTAGTACTTAATGGCATGTGCTTATACAAATAGGACTTGCAGACGGTCTATTGTTCTTGTCAGCAGCTCCGTTGCCTCCCTCCCAAAACCAAGCTAGAACCTGCAGATAAAATACCTTCAAATAGGTAGTCACTACCTCCAAAACTACAAGCAGGAAAAAGCAAAGACTTTTGCAATCACCGAGGGCGTGCAAGAGAACAAAAGAACAGACCCTCGAGACCCAGAAGCAGGAGCTCAAAAACTACAAGTTTCCTAAACTCTCACTATTGATGTTGGATGTTGGATATTGTCTAATTTTTGTTCAAACGAAAGTAAAATGAAAAAATAAAGATTTAGCTGCCCATACAATGCACATGTGGATGAAAGTGCTCCTTGTGGGCATTGAAACTGGTAAAAGACTGCGATAAGAAATAGCATAATGTTTTGTTTAAGAATGCTATTTTTACGCATTTTAGATTTTTGAGCCAGTTTTAAGTATCAGTTCAAGGTCGAGCTACGTATGTTCAGGTCTGTATTTTCGGAAGTTGATAAAAGGGAGTTTTTTCGATCTGCCGGAGGAAGTAGTAAGTAACTCATCTCACTTATCTACTGCTTTTAAGGGAAACATTTACCTGCAATTGGTGTTGAATATTTCGAATGTCGGAGAAATCAAGCATATCATCTCCATTCTGTATTGGAACCAGTATGATTATTTCTTACATTTTCATGTTCTTAGAGTTCTCCACCATTCGCTTGTGACTTTTCTCCAAGTATGACTGAAGTTTAATGTGGTTATTTTGTAGCACTGACTGACCATATCTTAATTGCTCAGGAAGATGGATTAGTCCATTTGTATGATACCTCTGTGACTGGGTCGCTCGCCTTTCTTAGACGTAAGTTCGCCTACTTATGCTGAAATGTTCTACTTACCAAATCGCTTTCGGCTTGTTATTTTCTTATTTTTTATCCAGTTAGAATTAGTACTAGAATTTCAACGGGTAACATTTCTGGTACACCTATTGGTATGTGCCAAAAAAGCGGATTACTTCAGGCCGAGCTTGAATTTTTAATGCAACTAACAAGGCATCTAGTTAGATAGAATGTCCCACAACTTTTGCACACCAATGATACCATCTTAGGGAAGTTTGCAGGGTAAAGTTGTGGAATTTCGCAACAATGCGTCACTTCAGACACCTCTTCAAAATTTGTATTCATAAGTATTCTGTCTTACTCAACTTTAGTAGGGGTTTCTCCATTCTTGGCAAGAATTCTCCACTCCACTTCGAAATCTTGGCAGGATGGATATTTTTACCCAAAGCACAATTTCATCAAAACGTTATCACTCGAAATGATAAGTGGGTTTCAGTCTGTTATCTAAATACCTGGTTCCGAAGCACTTTTATCAGGGTTGGAACAGCCTCTGACCCAACATTAGATGTAAGTTCTAATCAATCTAGATAAGGGAAACAGAGACCTTAACACTTGCTAACCAACATTAAAGCATGTGCAGTTTGCCTCGCAGGCTCAACTTAAGTTAAAGTGGGTTTGTCTCTGTGGTGTAAAGTGAGCCTTCAACCTGATTGTTGATTCACTTCCTTGCTTTAAAAATATTTAATTCGACACTGTCAGGGTTACTGACATTCTAATATTGCTAACAATTTATGGTCCTCGTCGTTCAGTGACTACCACACTCGAAAAGCATTTGTATGCATAATGCCGCTGTTCTGTCGACAAACTTAAAGACATTATAGGACTAATTTCTAAAGTACATGGAATTTCTTCAGTCCTTGCTCACTCATTCTCCTCTTGGTTTGTGTACTTCGGTTTGGTTAGCTTGGTTCGAGCTAGGACACTTTACTCGTCACCAGGTACTGTTAGAATATTTCCCTCCTACTACCTTTGTGACTTTGTCATCTAACGTCACACTATTCGGAATGCTCAAAATTCCCAATATCAGAAGACAAGAAGATATGAGTGGACGATGCTGTTTTCAATTAACTTCAGTCAGGCTTTACGCTAGTACAGATGCGTCTTTTCAGGTGTAAGACATTAAGCCAATCGTGATGGATCCTTTAGTCTGTAATAACAAGAAAGGGAAGTATAAAAGTAGTAGACATTTAGAAATAATAGTATTAGTAGTGATATTAATGATCTCAGATATGATAAGAATAATAGAGGGATAGCACAATACTGCAGACATTTAGACAATCAACTGTTGGAAATGAAATAAAAATCTGATCGACAGTCGGGTCTTGCACCTCATTTGGAAGGACACTGGGCCAGAAACCCGGTGGTCGCTGCGGAAGTCACTAAAGATCGTATACGAAAGATATCCGAAACTATATTGAAAATCATACGTCGTAACAAGATTTATACTGGTTCTACAACACTATGCCGAAATGCTCTTAATCAGAGTGACTACATAAAACCACATCTTCAACTTAGAAAGAAATTCATCATGGAAGGAACTAGCTGTCGATGATCTATCACAAGAATGAATGTGTAACTTTTTTGATTACGTAGGTAAAATCTCCGAAAACAGAGCTAAGAAAAGAAGATTGAGACTGGTCAAGTCATCAAAAAACCGAAAGCCAGAAATGAAATTCCTTTCAAACCGCAATTACTGTTTTCTTAATTTTCCCGGTATATAACTAGATGACATCCAATTGGAAATGTCGTTGCTCGATCCTAAATCTTGTGACTTCAAACATAATATTGACCAACTTGCTACAAATGCGCAATTCGAAAACTTAATTTCACAAACAAATGATTCAGTCTCATCAGAGGATGTTGTTGGGTTCGAAACTACATAATTCCATAGCTCCCAACAATACACAAATGGTCGTTTTTCTGCTTATGCCGTGTTAACTGGAAATATAGAGAAGCTTGGGGAACACTAAAGGTGAAAGTCTCAATATAAGCAAACCAGATAAGGAAGTGGCTATTCTGCTAATAGATAAAAGCAAATATATTGACGAAATGAACACGCTACTGAATGACTAGATAAAGTATCAAAAACTCTGGCGGTACAGATTTAAACGGGAGAGCTGAGAAACAATTAACAAACATCCGTGAAGAACTAAGACAAGAGAGCATAATTGGTACGAGTATATACAAGCCACAGGGTGTTACTCACCGCAGTTATATGGCCTACCTGAAGTTCACAAACCGCAACCTACTCTTCGTTCGGTTTTAGATATCCCTGATTCCCCTTATCAATCAATCATGGAGTGGTTAATCGGTGTTCTATACCACCTAGACAAACAATTTGTAAAGAATATTGGTAGAGATGTATTCGACTTCATCTCCAGGTTACAAAACGTGAATACAAACGGGAATTGTCATATCTTTGAATTATTTTTCTTTATTCACCAATATACCACTTATCGAAACAGCAGAATTCATTCATCACCAGATATCAGAAGCTCAGATTAATTTTGAACCTCCGGAAGTTATTATTTGTCCCTTGGGTTCCTAGTAGAACATAGAGCTTCAGTGGCACGTCGCCATTCCCCGCTATTCTCTGCGGTCTTTTTAACCTAGCTGCACGACTACCCAGAAGCTTTCATTCCTTCCTCACACTATCTCCTTCATGTCACGCTCGGATACCCAACTCGTTGTTTCCCCTTTGGGTTCCACTCGAGGGCCTGGCGCATCGGTCTTCTCAGTGTATGTCCAATCCATCTCCATTTCCTGCTTCTGCACATTTGTTCAGCGATAGGTCCTTGCTTCGTTGGTTCGTTCCCAGAGCTCCTTGTTGCTTATTCTTTCTGGCAATCCATCTGAGCTTCAGTAACGAGCCAATGTAGTCAGTTGTTGATGAATATCTGTAGTTTTTTGGAAATGCTTCTCGTAACACGCCAAGTTTCGAAACCATATAGGAGCACTGACTTGACGTTGGTGTTGAAAATCCGGATGTTGTTCATGCTTTATGCTGAGTGCAGAAGATCTCCATACTGGTTTCAGGTTAGTGAACGCCTATCTTGCTTTTCCGATCCTTGCTGGCTTTGACGTCCTCGTCAGTGCCGCCTGTAGTTGAAACGGTGCTGCCTAATAGGTGAAAGAGGCTACTTCCTTTAAGTTTCTCCCGTTGGTGGTGACTGGAGCTTGTTGTTGTTGTTGATTGAATATCATCATCACCTCTGCTTTCTCTACATTCACCTGAAGTCCCATCTTTGCTGCCTCTTCTGTCAAATTCTTAGTTTTTGCCTGTAGATCTTCGAGTTTGTACGACATTAGACACAAGTCATCGGCGAAATCCAAATCTTCTAGGATCTTTTCCTCGGTTCAGCCAGCGTATCCCCCTCCTTTCGCTCCTCACTGTTTGCTGCATGATCCAGTCCACCACAATCAGGAATATCATGAGTGATAGTAGACAGCCTTGTCTTCACTTCAAATGGATCACTGAGCTTTCCATTGTGAATCACTTGGCATGTGGCGTCATCATATAATTGTTGAATCAGGTTGATAAAGGTTTGTGGTACTCCGTAATGTTGAGGCAGTTCCCAACTTACTTGTCGGTCGACGCTGTCGAAGCAAAGCCTTTACAAAGTTGATGAAGTTGAGGTAGAGGGTTGACTACCATTCAACTCTCTGTTCTATGACGTCGCGTAGCGTCGCAATTTGATCCGCACATGATTTGTACTTTTTGAATCCAGTCTTTTCCGGTCGTCGTTTTGACTTTATTCTCTCCAGGATGATGTGGCATATTATTTTACTTGTTAAGGGTGGGCAGGAGCATGACTATTCACCACTTCTTGCGAAGGCTGTCTCCCTTCTTTTGGATTTTGACAAGGTAGCCCTTCTTCCAAGTACCTTTCCTCCCTTCCAGATCTCCTTCAATAGTAGTGTGAGCATATCCGTTGTTGTCCCTGCATCTGTCCTCAGTGCTTCTAGTGGAATTCCATCTGATCCTGCTGCTTCCCCGGATTTCGACAGTTTATGGCGTTCAGGACTTCAATTCTGCTTTTGTCGGAGGGTTCCTGTGTTCACTGATAGTTTTGTGGCTCGGTTGCTGGTGGTACTTCTGGACGAGTTGCAGGTGGTGGTCGATTCAAGAGCTTTTTGAAGTGGTCAGTCTATTTTTTCGTTTGTTTCTCCTCTTTGGTAATTAGATTTCCTTCATCATCTTTTATTGGTTTCATCTGTGTTGATCTCTTCCCAGATAGTATCCTAGTTATTTGATATAATGCCAGGTCTCTCCTACCAGCAGCCTGTTTCGCTCCACCTTCAATGTATCGTAGAAGTGTCTTTTGTCTTTCCATGCACTCTTCTTCACTTCTTTGTCCAGTGTTTTATACGTTGTATTCAATTTTTCTTTCCGTTGTGCATCCTTGTACTGGTTCATCTTCGGCTTCACCATCCTCCTCTCCTCTATCCAGCTTCCATGAAACCCTGAAGATCCATTCCTTGTCTTGCTTCTTCTTCCTTCATTACACGGTTATGCAGGTTTCCTTCCACGTCAGTTTCAAAGAGTCCCAGTATTCCACGGAGGTTTCCTCGGGGATGTTGCCTAATGTCTCCCATTTCTTCATGCCAACTGACATGAAGATGTTCTTTGAAGTTTCGTCCTTCAGTTTCTGGGTGTTGAACCTGAACTGTTGCCTATCACCGATTTCTTTGAAGGCTTTCAACTTGATTTTGAAGGTTCCTTGCACTAGGTAGTGAGTGGTGCGAACCTACATCTGTCCCCTCTTCTTGATCTTGTATCCAGTAGGCTGGCTGCGTCTCCACTTTCTTGAGATTGAAATGAAGTCGATCTGATTTTTAGTGTCTCTGGTATCTGGTGAAATCACATCCATGTTGCTTTTATAATATCCTTGTATTTGTATACACTGCTTCCAATCACCAAATCGTTGAATGCGCTTTGAAGTTTCTATAACGATTGGATTGGTTTTCTGGGGTAGGGTTGGTAGCCCTATGCCCAACTTTCCCTCTTTATCCGGGCTTAGGACAGGCCAGTAGCTAGTGAACTAGTTAACCAGACAAGGTTGCCAGAAGTTAGGCTTAAATAGTTACTTCTACGATGTACTATGGATGTGCGTTTTTTCCTTACTTATACAAATTACAGTCGAATTGATGGAATTGCGATAAGTTCACCATTAGGCCCATTATTAGCTGACCTTTTTATTGATATACTTGAGAATAGACCACTGAGAGATGTCACCGATAATCTGGATATGTAAAAATTTTATCCTGACAACACAGCATACTGCTATAAATGGGCTACCCCCATAGCTTTATCAAGAGACACACAGACAATGAGTTGGAAATCTGAACGAATGACCGTTGAGAAGTAATCTTTGTTCATGACGCTCCAATTTAAAAGGGATACATCTCGTGAAGTTCTATTCCAGAGGTTGTCAGTATTTCGCGTTGTGTGTAATTTTGGTAATGTAATAGAATAGTTGACTGTGCTAAACACCTGTCTATGTATCTTTTAATAGCATTTTAGTGCAGTTTTTAAGAAACATCTACACGATGCACACTTGATATTCTTGAATTTGTTAGTTTGATACTGAATGACATTCGTATCACTGACATTTTGGAGACTCGTCAAAATGTGTCGCTTAAACTGTGATGATGTTTGCGTTTAATTGGGACCTCTAAGAAAGAATCATTTACATTGATAGGGAAGCTAAAAGCTATTTCAAATTAGCTGAAATATTGCGTAGTGGCTAGTGTTTTTAGAAATACTAAAGCATTCACGCCTGTCTAGTCATAAATATTTTAGGCTTTGCTTTTTCTTTTGTTATTTCATACATACAGGTTTACATAGTTTTCCTATATCTGCATTAATTTTTTGCAGACTTTAAGTCAGTAATGCCGACCTCAAAAGTCTAAGTAGCGGATGCTAAGTCGCATTACGTTCTTCTAGGTTGAAATTTTTTGAATAAAGCACGAATAATTTCTATCTTTATTACTGAATCCTTTTAATCCAACCTGTTTATAAGAAAAAAAATCTTACACCTTTGATTGGACTGCGTTTTTTTTTATAAGTTTTAGCAACCTTTCTTTTATTTAATCGGGAAGATATCCGACTCTCTGTCAAAGGACGAGTATACTGTGCTCCAGTCCGTTCTGTTCTGTTATACGACTGTGAGACATGGCCGTTAAAAATAGTCATAAATTGGCTTCAAGGTTGTGATCATAGGTCTCTTTGCTTCATTGTTCGCGTTGGTGGAGTCATCTTGTGAGCAATGTTAAGGTCAGGCGAAGAGTACTGGGCAAGTTAGGCAGGTCGATTGATGAGGTTGTGAACCTTCATCGACTGAAATGGCTTGGAAGTGTGCTGCGCACATAGACCCACCGCCTACCTCAACGTGCCATGATAGAGGATGTTTGGTTAGGCCGGAAAGAGCTCATGGTGAAGAGACCAGTGCATGGCACTAGTTGGTCAAGTCCTTAACTGTTGTTCTGAGCCGTGTGAGTGTAAAATATCTGGCTAGGGTCTCCGTTGCATTCGGAATCAGTGGTTGGGACTCTCAGTACATGTCTGGAAACTATTCACAGTGGCATTAATGTTTCCTTTCTTTGATACCTCTAAAGCTTGAATTACATAACCTTTATCTTCAAATTGTTTGTTTTCTCACACATCTTTGTCTACATTGATTTGAATCCTTTTCTATCTACCTGTTCGTGTATACTATTATAAAGTGTGGCAACTTGAACCGATTCCTTGTGTGTAAGTTCGTATGTTGATTTTTGTCTGTGTCTCTCTTCTACTCCACATCGTGATTTACACTGGCTGACAATTGTGCCGTAGCACTACATTTTGGAATAGCACTCAAAGAGAAGCAATTTTGAAAATGAGATGTGGAGAAATGGAAGTATATGTCTTCACATGAATTAAAAAACACTAATAGTCAATTTCCCATGTTTCGATCTATGCTAATTAGGAAGAAAGATGAACTTTTCGTATACTTTAGTCTTTTCCAGCAAAGTGGGTCAATTGTATGAAATCAGGAAGTTGATATATCCACAGTTAGTGAAAGCGTGTTTGTATTTCTTTAAAATCGTTTCAATAATCACTACTTTTTGCTTTCTTCTTCTCACTATATAACTTAAATGTGAAAATTCACTTCCTTCGAACTTAGTATTTATCAAAAAGACTAAACAATGTAGATTTCATCATGTATTAAACCGTTTAATCAGGTTGCTGCTTCCTTCATAGTACCAAAAAGCATTTGGGAAACGTAATCAAGCGGTCAGGTAAGACAACAACTTTTTCAAGCCACACAAACTGAAGATGATCGTTCTGGGTTATTCGAAGTAGGTTTATAGATTGAAAGAAAACTAAAATTGATCAGATCAAGATGTGTCACTGGTCCACGAAGACTTTCAATGCTGGTCTCAATCGTTTACAGAGGTGTAAACTGAGTGGCTGGCTTGAGGCTCTTTGTGATATGGTTAAAAATCGATCTTATAGGTACAGATATATACACAATCCTAGTCATCTTTGGAATCGTAAATAAACTAATTAACCATATATTTATTTTTTCAATCCTTATACGCTTTTGTCGACCTTAATATAACTTTATCTATCTATTTGTTGTTTCCCTGCCGCTGTGTAGTTCACCAACTTGAACTGATCCACTTGTGTGCCAAGGTCTACACTGAATCATCTGTCTATCTGTGCTTTGTGTATTTTTTCCTATTAATATTAATTTCCCATATCTTGAACGTACTTAATATTTGAAATCGCCAGCTCCCTTTTGTCTAAGTAGTTTCACTCACTAGGTACCGTATGAATAGTCAATTTCTCTAAGTTATTTCTAATTAATTTCCACTTTCCCTTGTATTGTTTTATTATCAGATTATGAAGCACACAATAACGCAGTTTTTGATGTCAAGTGGTTGTGTTCGGGTTCCAGCTTTCTGACAGCTTCTGGAGACCAATCTATCAGATTAACCGATGCTGAGACAGGAGTCATAGTACATCAGTTCTTCGGACATACTATGTCAGTGCGTAGTATTTCGCTTATGCCTAGTGATTGTCGTAAGTGGTTTTCTCTTTTCTTGATGAAAAGGTGATCCCAACCTGATTTGAAAATACTAACTGTAATCACCTTGTTTTGAGCTGATCAGGTTTAACTATTCTTGAATACAAACTAATGGTTTGCTATCAATAACTCTCTTGAAATCAAGTTCTTAAAGAGTTTACAGATATCTGAATGTATCAAATTTAATACCGATTTACTAGTAACAAGTTTATCCTTTATTGATAATCTTACCATCTTGATATAGTTATGAGCTCAAAACGTTCGATAAATAATACTGTTTTATAAAAGAACGACAATTCAGCAAAGAAAATTTTCTTCTTCAACGATATCATTTTCTGAAGCTGTAGCACTTTATTTATATATATCACAAGCATATAACAGTCTACTATTAAACAATAAGGTATAATTGCATCATTAAACTCGTGCCAAAAACTGTAATCAAAAATGGAAAGTAGTTGTGTAGTTGTTATAGTGTAGTATAAGAGTACCATAACCTTCATAAAAAGGCCCTAAATTCCTGAAGCTTTCTACAGCCAATCTGATATTTACACATTGGTTAGTGTGCGTTCTCTCGAAACTTCTGTGCAACATGATTGGTTGCAGAATGCCTCAAGGATTTAGGGCTTTTTATGCAGATTATGACAATCTTATTCCACACTTAAACACCTCCCTTCTGAAATAGAGATGGACAGTACAGTGTTGTCTTTTAGTTGACTGGTAACGTTTTGCTGGATCGTGAAAAGTTTTTCTTGAATGATCTGATGAATCTGTGTTGTGAAGTAGTTTGAAGTTACTGGATTGTATCTATAAAATCTGGTAATGACGGGAATTATTTGCTGAAACTTTGAAGAACAGTATTTGATGAATCTTTACCTCCCCGCTTCAGAAAATCACTCCCTATACCTTAAAATGTCAAATTCTAGTGTTACACAGCACTAATCTTGCAAAAGTGCTCAGAAATTATATCAGAAATAATGTTTTAGACATTGGAACTAATGAGATAGAGAAGGAGTATGGCAAGGTAAAAATTGTTAGTAGATCTGAAATGCGATGATTTAGTGTTCACTTAATAGATATGAAGAAGGTGAAGAAAGAAACAAGGGTCAGAATGAAGGTGATAATAGTAAAGTAACTAATTATGTTGAAGTCGAAAGAATTTTGAAAGTATTAAGAGCATGGCGTAAGATGAGAGATTGAACATACCTTTTTTACACGCAGAGATCAGGCTTGAATAAGTCAATTCCCGGTTCTTCTACTGTGCACAACTACCGAATGCTTATTCTTTTTGAACTATTCCTCATGACAGAAGGAGGACTCTGGTAGAGTAATATGTCCAGAGTTGACCAAATCTTTAAGTATTAAGCTGTTAATCATCGCGTAGTAAATTCAGTGTTAAGCTTCACCGCTCATACAACGTTTGGTTCAGCTTAGCTTACAATAATTCACGTGGATGGAACGTTTTCGTATCATTTTCAGTTTCTACGTATTTTATATTGCGTATTACACAGAAACGCACTAATACACCTAAATTCTAGTTTGATTTGAAGTCTTCCAGGCTAAACTTATCATAAAATGACAGAACATATGCCAAGTGGTCAAAAAAGCTATACTGTTAGAAATAATTTACTACAAAACAACAATAGATAGTAAAAATGGAGAATAGTTTTCACAAATCGGTTGCAGGCTGGTTGTTCACTGTTCAGTAGTTTGAACATGTTTATCTGATGGCAAAATAATATCCATAGATAGATAGATCGATTTCGCTTTTATTATTATCGAGATCTTGTGTCATGAAACCCGTCGCATCTTCGTTTGAAGAATGCTTCTGAAATATACAGGTTTTATTTACTTTTTAATTGTTGGTTTCATGTAATCAATCTAATTTACAAACTTACAGGCAATGCACCTGTCGTTTACATCAAGATGAATATCAGAATCTCGTCTCATTAAGTTTGTAGCTGCTTCTTGAAGTATCTGTTTTCAAATGTCTCCTATATATATTAGAATGTGTATCTTCCTGGTAGTTATCAGTATCAAGAGAACAGTCACTGTTTCCTATGACCCTGCAGTTTAGGAAAGCTACATTAATAAATACCAAATAAACTAGTATTTTAGTAAGCGAACAGACAACTCGTTTGGGAACTCCTGAAACAAGCAAGCGTGCGGAGAAGTTACGAAAAAGAATAGAAAAAATTTTATCGGGAAAAGATATTAAAAGTCAACTTCATTGGGATTCGACGAGATCTTTGATACTTCCTTATCGTACGTATACATTAAATGCATCCTCAACAGTTGCATCACGGTATTGCTTGAAGTGACGAACACTGCACTGACACCCATCCGAATTTAGACTCAGTTTCTCATCTGGAACAACAGAACTGTGTCCTATGAAGTAGACTCTAGTGAATTTGACGCTTGATACTTTGGAGAGATATCACATCAGATATAAATATGTCTAGCGGGATATGGTCAAAATTGCAAACAGCCACGGGAGAATTCTTATGAATTGGGAGCCTTTAAAAAAGGCTCTATCTTCGCTGCTCTTATCTTAACTCATAAAATATCGTTTGACGGGACAGAATTTATTCAAAAGGATTTTCTTTCTCACAAAAAGATGGGCATCACAGAGGTTTTGCATACACCCTGATACTCTTCTGTAGTCGACAGAAAAGATGAACTGGAAATTTCATGAATATGGTGACTCACATAAAACGTCCTTAATAAAATACAAGCGGAAGATTGAACACAATTTAATTTAACACCACTCCATATGATGCATTCCTAAAACGTTTAGCTTTCATAAAAAGTGATTTATTCTTACTCTTCTCACTCACTCCAATGCTTATTTCACAGTAGAACGAAATTCTACAACTGAATTTTGTACTCCCTAACTTGACTAGACTTTAATTACCCCTTTATTAACACTGCTCACCTAAGTTATATTGATCTTTGTTCTGTTTAACAATTTAACTGTATGATTTAAAGTCAAGTTTGAGGCAAATACATTTTCATTATGGAATGTTAGAAAATCAATGTTTCCTTTTAAGATGTGTCCATATTCGGATGACATATTCAGGTGAATAGTATGTGTGAATGAAAAGACAACGAATAAAGAAGACAGGATTGACCTTTACGTTACTGAAGGCCAAGGGAGGAATAACGTTTGAACATGATCTTTCTCAATGCGCAGTTCAGGTTTGATCAACCTTGTTACGACAACCCTAGCTATGGTGGACATGAGTTGGCGAGCTACATATAGTATTGTTTACGGAATACAGTGTATGACACTAAAAGCCTCATTATCATCTACGTGATAATCAGATACGAGAATATTTACCGGTTTGGTTCTGAAAAAGCGAGGTGGATATGGTGAAACATTCTGTTCTAGTGCACTTAGTAGACACAAGACGTCCCATAGGTGCTAATAAAGCTTTCGGTATCATACATCGTACTCCAAAGACAACGCCACATATAGCTTGCCAACGTATGCTTAATATTAGCTGAGGCTGTCGCAATAAGGTTGATCACACCTGAACTGTGCATTCAGAAAAATCATGTTCAAGCGATATTTCTCCTTTGGCCTTCTGTAAGCTAAGGGTTACTCCTATCTTTTTTATTGTCTTTTCATTCACCATCGCACTATTCATCTGTATATGTGTCATCGTAATATCGATTTCTGTACAGTACTTAAATCTCACTCCATTTTGAAAATGTATTTGACTCTAAATTCGCTTGATTTTACACCGTACGAATTTACTGAAAAAGATATTCTTTGTTAAAACTTGAAAGGTTACCTCTGTACCAAACTTGAATATTGATCTAAAAGCTGAATATCAGATTCATAGTCTTGAAATAGGTCATCTTCGCAAAATCGAATCGTTGAGGAATGATCCAAAAAATTTATTTTTTGTTTGGTCTCAAATATTACTCCAGGATAACATATGTGAGATTTACCTAATGCGATACGATCCCTCATTGGTTTGAATGCATTCAAACCCATTAGGACCGCGGCTTACTTTGCATAATATCCAACACTTTCCTTTCTGCCACTGATTTGTGCTAATGCATCATGCGTGAACATTATCGAATCCCTATGGATTATCGAAATAAATTATTTTATTCGTTCGATTGATCAGTGAAGTTTGAGAAAACTGAGTAGCGAAAAACTTGCATTCTTCTAGAATACTGCCTATCAGTAGTTAATAATGATACTTGGTCTGGGAGACTGGTAACTCTACTCACTCTAAAATCTGAACACTAAATGATTTCATCGCACCAGTGATTAGTGATACAATATCCAACCACGGCATTTTATTATGTAAGAAATGGTCCCCAAGTCAGCAAAACCATATGATGTAAACTGATAGTCGAAAAGAATATCTGTCCTCTTTCAAAGGTGCAAGTGAAAATTACGACAGTTGTGTACTTATATGATGTTGCTTGTATTATGCCGTAGCTGATTGGATCACATTGATCGATTTCTGTTGGCATATTGGGTTCCTGCACGGATGCCTCGATATTCCATGTCGTTTCAATTCTGATAGTAATGATGGATAGTGGCTACCAGTGGAACCCAAGAAGCGCGTTTCGTCCTGTTTTGGATTCGTCATCTGGATACACCTGCCTTCCAGTTGCTGGCGTTGTTCCCACTGAGACTCGAACCCAGCAACAGATGCTTCAAAAGCCAGAACATTATCCACTTCCTGTGCGATGAATATAGTTTATTTGATGTTGCTACTAGCTACCATCCATTATTAATACCAAAAGTGAAATGACAGGCAATATTCGAGGCATCCACACAGGAGCCCATATTCCAATAGAGACCGATCAATTCAGTCCAATCAACGACAGAATAATACAAGCAATATCATATATACTATACACGTCTCACGAGAAGCGACTGTTGTGACTCGGAGGTATAGTGAATACACCCTGGCGTTTGAAGCGTTCGGTCCTGGGTTCGAGTCTCTGTGGAAACAACGCTAGGCATTGGGGTTCAGGTACATCCAGCTGATGAATCCCAAGTTGGATAAAACGCGCGTCGTGGATTCCGCTGCTAGCTACTGTCTATCAATAATGTCAAAATTATGTGGTTGTTTTAGATGTCGGACCGCACAACCGAGGAGTTCGTTTTTAGGATTCAACAGCTTTTTTCAGGCTCCATCCCAAATCCAGAAGATCATATAACTGGTCATTAAAAAACTACTTCATATAAAATGACGTACGAGGTTTTGTAAAGATGTTGAAGGGATTATATGGATTTATGATGAAAAGAATGTAGTAAGCGATCACGTAAAATATGTGCGGATAATTTTCCTTAACGTTTTGGTTCAACTTGGTATCTACTCTTAATGACTACAGAAAAACACGTAATCTCCTCACTGGTATCATTTTTATAAACACTGTCTACTATTTGAAACTGCTGAGTTTCCGTTTTTGTTGCACCCCATCTAAGGAGCTATGGTTTATCAATCAATGCTACAACAAGACAGTTTAATCATTTTTGATTTTACTAGTTGGTCAACTGTGTTGTCTGTAGTCCTTTCAACCTTTGGTCATACCGTCGGCTAAAGATTGGAGCCAACGGAATAATATTACTACTCACATAAGACCAAAGTACTTCACTATCCAACTGTCGGTGTCTTAACCAAATAAACCGGTTAAATAAGCCTAAAAGGACTGGAAATTATTGTTATTCACGTTAATGCTTATTTGCAGTATCAGTCTAATCGCCCATTGTTAGTTTGGAAGATAACCTTTGCTAAGAGCTATGTATTTTACCGTGAAGGGCAATACGTTTGGATGTAGTCATACTAGTGCATGAGATCACTATTCAGTTGGAGGTTGAACCGGTGCAAAAGGCACCCTGAAGGTGTCTTCTAGATCCTATACTGACTAGTTGGTGATGGTGACAATCTCCTACAATTCTTTTCTGAAAATCAATTGTTTCTGGTCAGTACTAACTAGAATATAAAAAGAGAAACCTGGTAACCGTCTACGCCGAATCGATGGTGGATACAAATTCTTTTTATTGATATAAGCCATCATTCGGCAGGATTGGTGGATTACTGCTGTTTCAAAGTGTCTACATGGAATCCGATCATACAGTACTTTAAACATATGTATATCTGTATCTCAATGAGTATATGAAACATGCAGTTGTAAAGTCTCAGTCCTTGACTAGACGATTAGAACACCATGTCTATGCTTAGATCTTTATTCGAACATATCCATTATTTTCATTTTGAAGTATTATAACGTGATATTCAGTTTGCCACGCAAACAGAAGTGAAGATAATTCCTTTAAACTAAACGTCAGTAGAAGCTAGTAGGCTTCAGAGGCTTCTTCCGAACTCATTGATTCAAGGGAACTCATTCTGATTGTCTCTGATCAGCGTGTGAAGTGACAACAGCTTGAGTACAGTCTAACTAATAACCTTTGTAATAACCACCAACTTTTGTGAGTAAAAAAGATTATAAAAGTATCGAATCTAGGTAATGCTCGAGAATGATTGGGTACACTGTAGAGACTAGCTGAGAAAGGCAAGTCCTATATGAGCACTTTGAACAGATAGCTAAAAAACTGAGCAGAACCGTTTTTAACTGGCCTACAATCATTCTTCATTAGCTCACTATCCAGGCTCAATTTAAACAAGATGTAGATATCACTCCTCTTACGCTATTTGAGGTATTAGCTACTGTATCGGAGTCATCGGTAGTCCCATTAGTTATTCTGGTTGGTGAGAAGAAAAAATAGCGATCCTTGTGGAAACCACAGGCGAACCAGCTTAGCCAACAATGTTTAAATTTCTAAGGTCTCAAGTTATTCAGCGTCTACCTACAGGAAAGCAAGAACACAAGGCAGTAGAAACAAATTAGGATTCAGACCTGGGTGAAGGTGCGTCACTCAAAACCCAGCTCTAGAGTATGTTCAAAAAAAGGATGTGTTTGTTGACACAAATCTCCACATGATGCAGAACTATTGAAATCACTGGAACGTGTCAAAATATGAGCAAAGCGAATCCCTGACGTATGGTACACTATTATTTCATCTCAGTTATAATCTTCTGAACGCACCGAGCATAAATCTGAATATGTTTGACATGAGTTTCGCACCTGTTAAATGTAAGACTATGCTCCAGAACTGGTCTGCAGCTACTCCCAGTTTAATGATAGTGAGTGGTGATGGAATTTGTCGACCACTTCACTCAGAGATTTGCATCAGCCCGAATGGGCTGGTGGCTGACAAAATCTCAGCTTAGATAGAGAAGACCCGTTTGGCATTTGCTGACTTGCCTCATCTATGGCGCTGACTGGTGAGATTTCCGGCTACCTGCCAAAGGATGAGTGTACCGTACTACAGTCCGCTCTGTCTTGTTATACGACTGTGAGACATGGCTGTTAAAAGTATGAAACATGAGAATGTTACATGGTTTGGATCACTGTCTTCGTAGCAATGCTCGTGTTTGGTGGAATCACCGTATGAGCAGTGTTGGAGTAGAAAACGAAACGCACTCAGCCACCTTGTGCTTATCCGTGCAGTAGGCAATGACCCACACCTATTGTGTGAGGGCTAGTGATACTGTCTGACTGCACAAGCCTCGGTAGGTGTAGCAGGGTTCGAATCCGTCACCCAATGGTTGGTAGTCATCTCCCTAAACCTCCAAGCCACAGTTCCACAATGCTGAAGTCAGGCAAAGGGTACTAGGTAAGTCGATTGATGAGTTTTTGAACTTTCATCGACCGAGGTGCCTTGGACACGTGCTGCGCGTGTTGATCCACTGCCTACCTCGAAGTGCAATGCTAGGGAAGGTTGGATTAGGTTAGAAGAAAGTTCACAATGACCAGACGAAGACATGTCACTAGTCCATGAAATCTGTAACTGTTGATCTGATTCCTGTTGGAAGATATAAACTACCTGGCTGGTTAGAGCCCCCGAGACGACAGGAATCAGTGGTTTAGAACTTTTGGTGACATTGCTGGAAATTGGTCACAATAGCGTAGGTCTGTTCACTCTTTGACTTCTTCTAAAGCCTGAATATTCGTGCTAACCCTCGTCCTCAGATTATCTATTCTCTCACACAACTTTGTCCTTTGTATACTACTGTGAAGTGTGACAAGTTGAACCGATGGACTTGTGTGTGAAATTCTACTTTGATTCTACCAGATTACGAAGTTGTAGGTCTTCAAGTGTATGAAAAATGTCTATATTTTGCAAGCATTTTTAACGCAAGAAATGAAGTGGAGGGAAAAATTTAAATCAAAAATAATTTTGACCGATATAAAGCAGATATTGACATACTATACCATTCATTCTTTTTCTTTTTTACTCCTTCCTACTGCTTTTGACCGATTCTTTCTTCATCTTATCATTTTGTTACTTGATGCACTGATACATGAGATGTGTTAACTTGAACCGTTACTCATTAATACCTAGTCGTGTGGTAATATTAATGATGATGACCTACCAATAAGCTATCTTTAGAAAAAATTGCCACTTGAATTCATTCATAAAATGCAGTGTAGTTCTGTTAACAAGAATAAACAATAGTTAAATATTGCTATCTTGAGTATTTCTCATATTTGTAATTGTATATTTTGGGATTCAATAAGTCGTAACCGATATAAACCAGCTAACTGCTCAGTTAATTATATCCCACTTTTTCATTGATTCACTCTCAGATATTTTTGCATCAGCCTCACGTGATGGTAGTATACGAATGTGGGATACTCGAATAAAACCAGATTTCTTCAATTTTCGAGGTAATTTCTTTTTCCCCTAATTAGTTGAAATAAATAAATAAATTATTTCGAACTATACAGTGAAAACGGTATGCTTAAGCTATCTACAGTTTATTAGAAACCGGATATTTCTACATAGTCTTCTTGTGGTAGTACAGTTTGAATGATCAATATTTGATATGCTTATTTTTCTGAGTCGTATTTGAATTTATTTGTTGATAAAAGTGAACTTCACGATTATTGTTAGTTCCGTTGTACCGTAAGCATTGAGAACTCCTTGATATAAAATGAATATATTTAACCTTTGCATCCTCGATAAAATGAACTGCGGCTTGATAGATAACGAGTTGTGGAGCTGTCTTACCGGTTTAGAGAGATGATTACCAACTAATGGGTCGTGGGTTCGAACCCTGCCCCACCCCGTATGGTTTGGATAGTCAGGTAGTATCATTCGCCCTCACACAATAAGTGTGACTCATTACCTACTTCATGAATGTATACAAGTTTGCTGAACGCATTTCGATTCAGAGATAACAAAGTGCTGTAAATAACATTATAGAGTAGTTTTGTGACGTCAAGTAACCCCTACAGAAAAGCTGGCTGTGACCCATTAGTCACTTTTATAATCAATGGAACCTAGCCATCCTTTAGCTGATGAAAAATACTCGTTTATTGAATAATAAGAAAAGTTCCAAACAAAAATATCTCTCTTTGTAGTCGTTATCTCACATTTTTTGACAGTGGTTTATCTCACGAGGTTAGTTTTTTGCTTCAATAACGCTTCATGGATTTTTTTCTCCTACGTCAATTCCTGCCTGTGTCACATGTATATTACTCAGCAATGTTTAATACAACTAAATGAATTTTCACCAAACATGACTAGTACATCTTGACAATGAACTCATTAAAAAGAAAAATTACTTGGCTGAGATTCTTTTTTCTTCGTATGTATATATATTTGCTTGTCCGTTCAAACTGTTGCCTCCTGTGCCTATAGATCTGTCTCAATATCGTACTTATCGAGGTTGTACTCGGTAGTTTCATTCCACCACTTTGATCAACTAAGCATGAAATTACTGTGTCAAGCCATAGTAATCTACTTCAAAACCGGGAGGTTGTACTTCAAAATTGTGGGGCTGTAGCTGATTAATCTAGGCACTTGATTTTCAACTGATTGGTCACTGGTTCGAAGCCTTTTCCACCTACCGAGGTGTGGACAACCAAGTAGTATTATTATCCGTAACACAGTAGGCTTTGCTCATTACCTATCACATGAGCATGCACGGGGTCTCTGAATACATTCCATTTCACCTTTCACTTCACAGTAGATGTATTTTTGGTACAAATTGTTCGTGAAATATTCTGGCATGTCATATGACTGATGTTGTGGTTTTCATGCAAACATATATCAGTACTTTCGTTCTGTGTTAATGATGGACAGTGGCTAGCAGTGGAATCCAGGACGCGCGTTTCGTCCCACTTGGCACTCGTCAGGTAGATGTATCTGCTCTAAGTGAGGAATGTTTTTCCCATTAGGACTCGAAGTCAGGACCAATTGCTTGTAACTCCAAAGCGTCATTTACTGAATCACCAAGTCACGGTATTCACTTCTTGTGTGACGGATATAGTTTTAATGTTGTTGCTTGTACCCCGTTGTTGAGTGGACGAAATTAAGTGGTCTCTATTGGCAAATGGCTCCTGCGCGGATGTCTCGATATTGCCTGTGTTTGAATTATATATTAATGATGGATAGTGGCTAGCAGTGAAACACAGGAAACGCGTTTCATCTTATTCGGGACTCATCAGCTGGATGCACCTTCCTCTCAGTGGACGATGTTCTCACTGAGACTCGAACCCGTTGCCGATCGCTCCAAATGCCAGTGCAACTAATTGTTAATGGCATGAGTATATGTAGCACTAAAACGAAGCTCAATGAATCAGTAGAAATTTTGTATTCGAAAATTACAGTCGGAAATAGTAAAGCTGATAAAGTCACATCAGCAAACATTCTCCTTTTAGACATCCCAGCGTGCATTAGTTTTATCCTCTGCATTTGTACTCGATATTCTTCTTTCCCCTCCAGAATTTTTAACACTCAATTGTTACCATTTTCTATGCTTTCCGATATTATGGCGTATGCTAGTGATGTACATTCTTATAAATAACGTTCACCATAGGACTAATATTTGTCACTATACTTTGACTGAACTTTAAAGGCGTCATGAAACTACTTAATAAGGTAATCTACGGTGTTAAGATTTTGCACAGAAGCACAGAGTCTTTGTTATGTCCATACACTTCTGCTATCACTACAGATGTTTGAGCAGGCAGATCGTACTAGCTGTCACTGACTAGTGTACGAACTTGTACATTGTTCCTGGGTTACATTATCTTAATATTTATTTCCATACATTCTCTTCATGATCATTGATTTATTATCGTAATCGGATAGTATATTGGTATCCGTACCTTGGGGGGAAAACTAAATATCACTGACACAGGTGTCGTGAGACTTAGTGACCACAACATGCAGTCAAGAGTGAAGAGGCAGGGTATCAGTGAAACTGTTCTTAGAATTAATTGTATGCCAATCAGTAATCTCCGAAAATCTCTGGAACAGAAAAAAAGAGAATATCGAAAGACAGTTTATCTAGTGTAATGGACCAATGACATCTACTTAAACATCTAGTTATTTAACACTGAGGAACCAGATGTTAAGCAGGTATACTGAATGATCTCTGGTGTTCTAAAGTCCCTAAAACACCACACTTGGACAACTTTCTCCTGTTTCTGAAAACGTAGACGAGACTGTATCCAGAAAGGTTACTGGATTGTTCAGGATTTTAAGGGAAAATAAAAGAGTATCATCACTCTGGAATGAGATTGTTGTTGTACTCCCTAACTGCTATAACCTTTATTGTCACATTATACTCTTGTAATGACTACCTGGTATAACCTGAGTTATATATATATATATATATAATATATATATATATATATATATATATATCAACCACTTCACTTGGTGCACATTATCACTGTGGTCTTTTTCTGTTCACTAATCAGCTGTTCACACTTCTAGAACAGAAGCCAGTCAATACTTAACCATCTGTCCTTTAGTATATAGAAATAGTGGTAATTACCGTTATTTTGTAATCGGATTTTCATATCCTATCAAACTACTTTGTGCATTGACAATCATTTATGAAGAGTTTACGAAGTTTTCTCTTTTTTTTACACTACGATCCAATGATTATCAGGCTCTCCAGGTATATCAAGCGTTGGAGTTTTACCACAATGTCACGTGCCTCTTTCGCATAATTCTCCCAGTACAGATGGAAAACGAACACGTACTCCCAAACGTCTACCTGTAAGCTGTGTAAAGTTTTACTCAATTCAAGTATATTTTCAGCGCACTGAATAAATCAAATTTGTCGCTGGCATAAAAATCTTTATCAGCAACTGGTCTGCAGAAGGCGGCTTAAAGTTATGTATCAATAAAATAATCCTACAAACATTTGATTGCTGTGGTTTCGTAATGGAACGAATCACTAGTTTGTTGTTCCAAAAATGCATAATCTTGATATTTCACTTATTCATTTAAAGGTTAAAGTTCTTTTTCCTTATTATAGGGCTCTCCGATGTGATCATCAGTCAAAGGGGAAGAGAGAGGGTGGGGTTTAAAATGTATTTTGTTAGAGATCCTGAGCATAGAGCGTATTGGTTAATTGGTAACCCGCAGTTTCTAGTAGCTGTTCAAATCATAGAAGTTCTTAATGGAATACACCTTAAAATGTGTATGAAATCCTTCAAGTTCAAACTTTTCTACGTTATTTTAGGTTTTCGGTGCAAATTTCGTCAGCAGATGTATTTTTACGTAAATTTTATCACATTTTATAACGTGGATAACCACCTTTCCATATACTGCCATATTCTTGAATTATCTTTAAACGATAAAAACTGTTTATTTTTCCACTGAACGGCTTGAAATCTTAATCAGAAACTCGCACATAAGCACATTGGTCCAACTTGCCACACTTCACAGTAGAAAATGTTGTGCGAGAAAATAAGGAATTAGAAGATAACAGTTAGTGCAAATATCCAAGCTTTAGAGTACGTCAAAGAGTAGATATTATCTGCGCGATTGTGACCGATTTTCAGCCATGTCACAAAGCATCCTCAACTATTGATTCCTGTCCTCTAGAGGACTTCAACCGGTCATCTAGTCTACACCTCTCTACATGGCTCGAACCAACAACCAGAGACTTCATCGACCGGTACCACGTCTCGGTCTGACCACCTAGATCTCTCTTTCAATCTAATCCAACTCCCCCTAACATTGCACATCGTTGTAGGGGGTGGTTTGGCACGCACAGTTCATGTCCAAGCCATCTCAGTGGATGAAGGTTCACAACGTCACCCACCGACTTGCCTGTCTTGCATAGCACTATCTCCTAACTTCAGCACTGTTCATAGGAGGATTCCACCAAGGGTGCGCAACACTGCGATGAAAACCTTGTAACCGCTTCATGTCTTTTACTTCTAACTGTCATCTTCATAACTTAAGTGATTGGTAAGATATGGCAAAGCGGAATTAGACATGGAGTGACTAAAACCGCGTCTAATGGACTATCTAGAAAAGGATAAGTTATTCAGGGTAAATATTTTTTTACCAAACTGGAAAATAAGAATAATGTATGTAGGAGATGTCGGTTTAATAACTCGAACATAACAACCACCAAGTACTTAAATTGATACGGGGACTGCATTTATCAACAGTTCGAGATTGTTGTGGTGTATGAATAAAATATTCTCAAGTTCCTCTTGAAATTATTGTCATATATTAGTGAAACTATCTAAAATACTCGTGGTTTGGCAGACTGGTATTATTGTGATGACTGGCTGTGTAAACTCGGTTCGAATCATGCTGTGATTCAAGTTTCTATTTCAACTTATGGATCTGTGATTCATTGGTATGAGCACTTGATTACTGACCGTTGGGTCGTGGGTTCGAACTCAGTTCCATGTACCGAGGTTTGCGCATCCGGGTGGTATCAATTTCCTTCACACAATAGGTGCGGTTCCTTACCTACTACATGAATGTATACAAGGTTGCTGAATGGATTTTGATTCAATTTATTTCTACTTCACTCATCACTTCGTTTTGTCCTTTAGACTAAATCAGTAAAGATATTGATGCCCATTCAAAGTCACCTACAATACATTTCTCGTTCAGGTAATTACAGGACATATGAATCCGTGTGCTGCATCACCTTATTCTACCATCCATAAATAACCAGTTTGTGGCGGAGAGGGGAGGTAATCTTTTTGTCTCTAGGTTCCTATGTTTTCGATACATCAGGATAACTTATGACTTCAAAGGCGCATTTCTTCCTACTTGAGACTTGTCAGCTAAGTGTATCCGCCTCTTCCAGTGGGTGTTCGTACTGGGAAATACGTATATCCAGCTGACAAGTCTCAAATAAGGTGAAATTCGCGTCTTGGATTCCACTGCTAACCACTAACCATCATTACTTTCAAAGTGAAATTACCGGCAATATCAAGGTATCCCTGCAGGAGCCCATCTACCAATGGTGGCCGATCAGTTCGGTCTAATCACCGACTGAAAATTGCAAGCAGTAACAACGAAACTCATTTTGTTATTCAGTCATAGAGAGTGTTTTCGGTCGATAATTATTTTAGTCCAATAGCTTGCTTACATGTCAGATTTCTATATAATGGTTTTCATTTTAGACTGATGCTCAAAGTGTAACATCCGTATTATTCGTAGATGATAACACCTTTCTATCTGCTGGATCAACAGATGGGTATGTTATTTAAAAATATCCACAGTATATCGTTGCAATCAAACATCTTCATATGTGTACTTCCTTCACATGGTTATACTTCTTTTGTTTAGATATCAATTTATTCACTATATTCCATTCTCAGTTCAGAAAATAATTCAGTCTTAATTAGCTGCATAGGAAATTGGTTATGTATGCATCTGCGATTTGACTCCAATCAACGTCGTAAATAAGTAAATACATTGATATGTAGACTACTACAGGCTTTAGTGCTGTTTGTTGGGATATCGAAACACTTTTTTGAATAGATTTTCATTGTCACGTATTTCTTACCAATTACTAGGGAGGAAAGGCGATCGATGAGATTATTGACCTTCATTGACTGAGGTGGATTAAACAAAAGTTGCACATCCTGAACCGCCTAACTCGACATGCACTGCTAAGGGTAGTTGGATTAGATCAAAATAGTGGCCAGACTAAGATATCTCACCAGTTCAGGAAGTCTGTGACTGTTGGTCTGAGCCGTGTAAAAAGGTGTAGATTACCTGGTTGAGATCCTCGAAATGATAAGACTCATTAGTTAAGGACTTTTGGTGAAATGACTGAAAATCGGTCACAGCACCGCAGAGGTATTCACTCTTTGATGTCTTCGAAAGCTTGAGTGTTTTCACTAATCTTCATTTGCAAATCCCTTCTTTCCTCATATCAGTCGTTTTCTATCCACTTGCTCTTTGTATACTACTATGAAGTGTGGTAACTTGAACCAATGCACTTGTGTAGGAGGTTCTACTCTGATTTTTTTTCTGCATATCTCTACCATATGCTGGTCAACATAGTTTTCTAAATCTTGACCGAGTTTTATTGATTATCGTGCGGTTTGGACAAATGGCTAGATGTGTCAGTATGCTACGTCTGCTTTTTGATGCTTCTTAGCTATGGATAGAAAACGTTTGACTTGCGTTTTCTAAACAGTTCTCTCATGATGTCATGGAGACTCCTTTGTGATGATCCTCATAGAATAAGAAACTAGCTTCCGATATTTCCTGATGATTTTATACGGAGGTGTAAAATCACATAATGATATACGCAACTTATGGATACCTTTCTACCATTTGTGTTCTGCCATCTGAATGGGCAATAAATGTGTTTCTTCTACAAGTCACTGGTTCTTGTACAAGGACAGTATAGCTGTTTTGTATCCATGCGTGTGTCAAGCAATGTTACTTTGAACATACTGTATCAGAAACAACATGTGTGTGGGATTCTGCATTCATTTCCTCTGTCTGTTGACTACCCTGATTGCAGAAAACTACTTTACACATCTATTTATAATCGGAAACTTAGACTTCAACAATGGTGTGACGATTTTCAACAGGATTTCATCAACTACATTGGTGATTTCTATCAAAAATGTCAATTTATGTGCAGTGATACATTTTAAAACCCTTTAAGGTCATCGTTTTGATTTCATACTGACATCCTAATAGAGCATTCTGTGACCGTTGATAAGTATGTTTGACTGAATAAATGATTTATACTTTATCATTCAGTGTGCGAGTTATAAGTCGGTTGTTCAAATATCTGACTTTCAATTATTAAGTTCGTCGTTCATATGCTATTCCGCCCAGCATTTTTTCGACAACCAAGTTGTTACTAGTTTATATATATATATATATATATATATATATATATATATATATATATATATATATATATATATATATATATATACAGACTAGTCCAGTCATCTTAGATTTGATGGGAGTAAAGTGCATGCCAAACATACTCAGATTTCTGCTCATTTTGTCAGCGCCTTCACTTAGCAGAACAATATCATCTGCATATTTCTAGTCAACTAGATGGTTTGCTGGGAGTAGATCAATCTTTATGAAGTCAGACGTACTTAAGGTTATGTCTATTAATAACGAAGTTGATCAGGTACGATGACAGTGAGAATCCTTGGCGGACATCACTTTGGACAACTTTTCATAAGCCGTTACACGCTTATGTGAGTTTGAGTAGATATCTTTGATCAAAGGCATATGCTTACTTGGTACTCCCTTCACAGTCAGACACTACCACAGCACCTCATGGTCGACAGAGTCAAATGTCGCCTTCAGGTCAAGAAATATGGCTAGTGTCTGTTGCCTGTATTCCAGGATCTGTCTGAGGGTGAAAATATGATCGATGCACTCTCATTTAGGTTTGAAACCTGCCTTGTTTTCACGAGTTTGCTGTTTTCAACCTCCAGCTAGGTGTCGGATAACTGTGTACCGTATGATCTTAGACAAGATATTTTTCAAACTGATTCCTCTATGTTTGTCACCAGAAGACTTTTTCCCCTTCTTATAGACTGAAACGATCTCAAGGTAAGTGACGTTAAAGTTGGTCAATTAATACCTTGTTTTTATCAGAATACTTATTTTCGATGAATCTCTATATGTTTCAGATACAAATGTTCACGTTTTTGTCTAGACTTGGCTACGTAAGACAAGTTTTAGTTCCATGAAGTAAAACGGATGAAATGTAACATCTTGAGTATTCTAACGCTCCGGTAGACCTTTATGCAATATGATTTTGTTCTTACTTTGCACATTGACCGACCCCCTCAGAATAGCGTGAGAAAATGAGTTAACAATATTTCTTTTTGAAAATTATTAGTTAACCAGAGTTTAACTGGTCTATTCACATAATATTCGGAAGTTTTATTAGAATTTATTCATATTCTGCGCTCGAATTCTCCTCAAATATTCATAATACCTATCGTCTGGATATTTTATACGACGTTAATTTTGTCAATGGGATTATTTGATATGGGGTGATGTTTGAAGGTAAGGTGAAAACTTGGTCACGGAAGGATTCAAACGAGTGGCTCTCAAATTACTCTCCGGGTGCTCTGTCAACTGAACCAAGAGACCAAACTGGTAGTCAAGCTGGCCTGGTAACCCGTAGGCCACTTGTTCGAATCTTACTACAAACCAGGATTTCGTGCCACTTTCAATCGTCGCAACGTATCAGATAATTCTGTCAACAAACTTAGCGTCTTATAAGTATGCAGACAAGAGATATTACGGATGCCTTGGAAGAATTCAAGCGTGGAATCTGAATGACTCGTCGTAAAATTATTTAATATTATGTCTGCATTAACCACCACAATGCATGACAGTATTATCTAGGTGACGAATTAGAAATTATGACTGCCAATTCTTCTTACACTAAAATTCTTATATAATCTAACCGGTAATCACTTACAGTGTATCTCAATTAAATTTCATAACAGCATGCTACTGAGATTTTCATCAGCATTTATAAATTAATGGTTCTCTCTTATTTTTTACCAGAGGCACAAATGTTTTGCGATTAGCAATCATGATACAACAACAGAAAATAATTAGAATTAGATTCATTTCAATAATATGTTTTGCTATAGATGACGATGGATGTCTGTCACCTACACTTATCAAAGTTTGTGTATTAAACTGTTTTTCTAGCCATTTGGGTATGTGTTCACCCTCCCTAGTCTACATTGGACGATTACTCCTCCATATGTATGTGTGCCCACACATACATGTAAAATAATTAACAGTCCGATAGGATATGTAATGCTTTCTGTATTTAGTGTTTCAACTGTTTAATATCATAATATTACGGTTGATGAGTTGTAGCCAAATTGGTCAATCACTTCTCAAATACTCTTGAGTTAATTTCATGTGTCTTAACTGTATGAAACAAAATGTCTACAACCCACTCAGTATACTTATTGAAAAGCCTTTTGCTTTGTAAAACCGATATGTATATCATCGATCCCCTTGTATGAACAAAATATGTCGACATTTTAACAGCTTGAAATATAAACTTGCCGGTATAACATTCAAAAATTACTTAATAAACAAATTTGACTCAAGTTATCGTTGTATAGAATGATGCCAACAGCCTCCGGGAGACTAGTGAGAAAGTAGTGATTCACTATTAGGTGTGAAATCAAAACAGTCCTGTGGAAATCTTCAGTAACCCACACCTATATCTTCTACCGCATCAAAAATAGAACGAAGGGTTTGTGTTGCAAACGTGTTACTATTTAACCACAAGGCCTAAATCCTTATCACAAGTTATTGCTATTATTTTGTACTACTAATACCGTTATTATAACCTTGTTTCCATAGTAATTGTTTCTGACTTTGTTAAAATCCGTTGCTTTTTGATCTTATTCATCTTAATATGTTTTCCTCAATGTAATTACTTTCGTATATTATTGTTTTTCATTTTGATCAAGCTCAATAAAAATTTGGGATTTAAGGCGAGTATTTTGTGTTGGAAGCAAGAAGCAAGCAAAACCAAAAGTTGTTCTACCATATCGTGGTACCTCACAAAAACAAAGCGGTAAGTCATTTCAATTAAAATTCTCTCTTGACATTTTTCTATGCTTATATGAATGGCCGCGGTCCAGATTTTCATCTCACCTTCAATCATCATCCAGTATATGAATTGTACCGGTGAGCTATCTGCACTGCAGTTTCATCTGTCCTGTTATACGGCTGTGAGACATCACCGCTAAAAATAGAAGATATGAAGTGGCAACAGTTCTTCAACCATAGGTAGGATTACTCGTTTTTCGCGGAATCCCCATATGAGCAATGTTGAGGTCACGCGAAAAGACACTAAGCAAGACAGATAAGTCGACTCATGAAGTTGTGCACCTTCATCGACTAAGGTGTCTTGGACATGAACTGTGTGTGCCGGTCCACCGCCTACCTCGACGTGCCATTCTAGGGGGAAATGGATTAGGTTGGAGTACTACAGCTCAGGGTGGTCACACCATGACTTGGCACCACTCCATGAAATCTGTAACTGTTGATCTGAGTTGTGTTGGATGATGTAGACTATGTAGTTGGTTGGGAGTTCCGAGGTGATAGGAGTCAGTGGTTGAGGGTTTTTGGTGACATAGCTAAAAATCGGTCACAATGGTGCAGATGTATTCACTCTTCAATGTCTTCTAGATCTTGAATATTTGCACTAACTGTTGTCTCCAAATTGTTCATTATTTATCACAGCACTGTTTGCTTTGATAATGCTCTTTTTGTATGCTACTGTGAAATGTGGCAGTTTGAGCTTATACACTTGTGTGCGAGGTTCTGTTTTAATTTTATTCATCTGTCTGTCTAATCGCAAAATAAATTTCTGTTATGCTAATTTACACATTTTGGTCGCTTCTGTTATGCAGAGTCAATTCCAAACACTAGGAATTACTAGTTGGTGATCATTTGGAAAATGAAATAGGGGAGCTGTTTACAGACTTTTTGAGTAGATTATTGTAGGGGTCTAGTGTCCACTGCTTAAGCCACTGACTCAGAGTCAAAGCTGTGTAGAGTGCTTAGTGTTTTAACTGAATAACAAACAGGCATTCGATTGTTTATTCCAATTTTCGTTGGTAAAAGTTGTTAAACCTTTTATCAGATATTTGAGGAATTAGTACATTTATGCCTTATTTCAGTGATTCACATTCATCTTCAGACAATAATATTCGGGTTCGCATCTTGATGGTCTAGTAGTTGTCTTCTGGATTCAAATGGAAATGTAGTAGTTGTCTTGTAGTTGACCGTCGATCTGCTTTCATTTCTCCACTCTAACATTCTATTCTGATTCTCGTTGCCAATAGCCTCCAGCAAGTTTCAAAATGTAACCTTTCTCTGTTGCTTATACCTGGTCAGTCGTTTCAACTGCTTATCTCCACTAGGTAGCATCCTGTCTCTGTACTTTTCTTCTCTGAAGATGGAGTTAATGTTTCAAGAGTAGTCATCCCTAAGACAGAACGAAATATGATATTTACTTACGCAGAAAGTTTACAGAATGTCCGCTTGGCGTAACAGTTAGTGCTAGGTAATGCTTGTAACCCTCTTGATCGGGTAAATCAAACGCAGATGTATAGTTGAGAAATTATGATATGACAGAGAGAATCAACGTAGAACCTCACACACAAGTGCATTGGTTCAACTTGCTACACTTCACAGTAATATACAAAAAACAAGTGGATAGAAGAGAACTGATATCAAAGTAGACAACGTTGTGCGAGAGAGTAAGCAATTAGAAGATAACGGTTCGTGAAAATACCCAAGCTTTAGAAGACGCCATGGAGTGAACACATGTGCACTATTGTGACAGATTTTCAGCCACGTCACCAAGAGTCATCAACCACTGATTCCTGTCATCTCGGGAAGCCCAATCAGCCACGTAGTTTAAATCTCTCAACACAACCCAGGCCAACAGTTATATAACATCCGTACGCGTATTTACTTTAGAGAGTCGCTTGTCAGCGCATATGTGTCATCTCTGCTTAATTTTATCCTGCCTGTTTATTTGTGACATTTCATTTTAGCTGTTATCTATGTGAAGAGTATTGCTTTTCTTAGTGATGCATACTTTTTATATAACACTTTCTTTACTGCCTCTCCTAATGCGAAAAGTATTCTAAAAAGTTTAATTGACTAGGCAAGAGTTTTTTAATCAGGTTCATCTTCACTTATTTAGCTATAAATCCTAGGGCTGAGAAATGTTTCAAGGCTTACTAAGTAGCACTTGATGGATACCTAAGCAGAGAGTGATTTTTTTTACTGTGTAATGAAAAATGGTTAGTTTGTAGCTCAGGAATATGATTCTGATGTTGTGTTCTATGAGCTGGATGATTTAATCGTTAAGCTTTCACTGGCACTCTAGACAATATCATCTGCACAAACATTATAAGGAAGTGAGCTGTGTGATAGTTTTCCAAAAGAACAACTATTGACACAACTCCGTCAGATATTTGTATCGTTAGCTGTCAAACCATAAAGTCATCTTTTGAAACTAACAAACAGATTGTCCTACGTCACATGAAGAATGTCTCCAAGATCTTAACTAGATTATTGAAGTGTTTTAGAATTCCTGTAGTTCACAAAACTACGAAATCTCTTCACTCTATGCTATCCAGACATTAGATACAATAGGAAAGAAAGTTAAACGCTGTCGATTAAATGAAGTATGGAAGCCGTGAAAAACTATATCGGATGGAGTAGTCAACCTCTTCATATCCGTCTACACGAGCATCAACCAGCAGTGAAGCGTTATGACTTATCGTCACTCATATTAATACATATAGACGATTGTAGGCATGAATCCGACTGTGGAAATATGGAAACCATAGATAGAGGAGATGATAAAAAATATCATAGAATTTTTAGAAGCTTGACATTCAAGTCAGTCAGCGACCAACTGATATACTGACATTGACCCCATCTACCAACCAATTAGGAACACAAGGAACGACAAAAACGTCAAAGTTCATGTCAGCGAGATGCATATGAAAACAATAAAAGGATTTTAATCAAAGCAACCAAGCATACCCTAAGTCATCAGGACAAGGCACTTGTATGGAAAATCCTTCAGCTAACTTTCTTCAGAAGTTTGTTCTGATAATGTTGTCCAGAATGGCAGTGAAAGCTTCACTGTTAAGCTTTCCAGCTCATAGAGCACAACTCCGTCAACAAGTTATTCTGTTTTCATCGGAAGTGTTATTTCAGCAATACATTTATGATTTTTGAGATGAATGGGTATTTTAATCTGGAGGTAGTATTCATCATGGACTGATGTTAGTTGAGGAACCATTGAAAATCTGGGAGCACTGCTGAGGAGTCTCATACTAGGACGAAACAGCTCTCCAGTGCTTCCAGATTTTCAGTGGTTCCCCAACTAATATCAGTCCATGATGAATACTGCTTCTGAATATATTTATGAATTTACAGTTGGCTAATGGCTTTACTTCATTACAGACAAGATTTATATAATATGACTTCGAAAAAAATCTAATCATTGGTGGAAATTTTCTGATTTCTCAATACTATGGAGAGTGTTCATCGAATCACAGTTTGTACTAACTGTAACTAACTTTAACTGTTTCCGGTGCTTTTAGTCATCACACAAGTTCAATGACCTTTTTGTTGTTGTTAGGTCAAAGGTCAACTGAGTATTATTTCGCTTGTCTTTTGAATAGATCAAGTTACTCCCTCCTCCAACCACCTAAACATACTTTAATTTCAGTCATATATATGTAGCTTGAATATACGCATAAATTCTCTTTATTTATCAATAACAACTTCACATAAAGTTCAGCATAGAGCAACTTTGCTTTACTTGGCTCAGTGTATGATGTCGGGACAGATCATAAATGATCACAAATGGCACAGATTGGAAAACCATCTGTTTATCCCTTTTTTTGTAATTTACTGAAGGCATAGTTAGATAGTGTGATTTTTTCATCAAAAAATGCCTGTAACATTTATTTAACCTTATTGTCATATCTACGAAAATAATTAGTTATTAGTTGATACTGCGTAATGATTGGAGTGAAATAAAAATCCCGTTCACGGAAGGATTCTAACTAGGGACCTCCGGGTTACCGGTCTAGTAATCTAGTAAGCTTTGAATCCTGCTGCTACCCGGATTTTCATTTCACCTCCGGTCACCACCTAGTATCACCATGTTAGCAATGTTAAGGTCAGGCTAAGAGTACTAGGCAGAACAGGCAAGTCGATTGATGAAGTCATGAACCTTCATCGACTGAGGTATCTTGGATATGTACTGTGCATGCCGGTCCACCGCCTACCTCGACGTGCCATTCTAGGGGGAAATGGATTAGGTTGGAGTACTACAGCTCAGGGTGGTCACACCATGACTTGGCACCACTCCATGAAATCTGTAACTGTTGATCTGAGTTGTGTTGGATGATGTAGACTATGTAGTTGGTTGGGAGTTCCGAGATGATAGGAGTCAATGGTTGAGGGTTCTTGGTGACCTGGCTGAATATCAGTCCCAATGGTGCAAATGTATTCTCTCACACAACTTTGTGTACACTGATATCACTTTTTATCTATCCACTTGCCGTTCGTATACTACTGTGAAATGTGGCAACTTGAACCGATGCATTCATGCGTGAGATTCTACGTTGATTTTGTTAGCCACAGTCAATAATAAGAGTCAAACCATGACTATCTCAGTTAGTCATACTAGTGAAGTTAGTTGTGGTACGCACCTGAAAAAACCACGGTAACAGTGGTTTATTTGGAGATAGATAATAACTGATATAGAACATAACTTGAGTAAAGTTAAAGTGGCAGTTCACAATTCTGAGCAACAAATTGTCTGATTCTTACAACCAGGTTGAATATCTGTGGACTAATGGTAGTGATGCTCTATTTGATTGTCTCATCGCTTATATCAGTGCGCCTATAGGATTTAACAAAACAGTCACTAACTTCCTAATCTTTATCCAATTTTGTGCAAATCACTTAGCTGCAATATGACCTACAAGTTCAAGTATTATGTTATATTCCGTATGTGTAATATGAAAGCATTGGCTTATACTGCCTAACTACCCAACCGTTGGTACATGCGGCAGAGTAGATCACATTGAGAAAGATGCAAACTAATAGGGCAAGATAATATATTATTTAATTTGTTGAATGTGATTAGTCAACGAATTGTTCTACATTATATTGTTCTGTATTCAATCTGTCCCGTCTGTTCTTCTCCTCTTTGATGACTTCTCAACAAGCAAGATCTTAAATGTAAAGATGTAATCCACATCTTCTTACATTTAGAATTAACAAGAGACAATCCAGTGAAGAAAATCTTTCTTATGGATCATTTCCAGGTGTACATTTGTACTTATAGTTGCAACAAATACATGTGTATACATGATATTCTGAGATTAAACTAAGATAATGGGAGCTTAAAATAACAATGATGGTGGTTATAGTTACAATAATGTTGCTAACTAATGACGTAATGGTTGAATGATAACAAAGAGGGGTTATGTAAGATTTTTTAAAGTCGTCTATAAGGCGGATATAGATTATGAACGGGTGAAAACATTAGTGTAACCTAGTCATATGGTCGTTCATTAACTCTGCCGTGTTTTCACCCCTTTGTAATCTATGTGCACCTTATAAACGACTTAAAAAAATCATCCATAGCCCTTCTTTGTTATCATTCAACCTTTATGTCATCAATCAGCAGCATTATCATAACTATAACCACCATCATTGTTATCTTAAGCTCCCATTATTTTAGTTTAATCTTTCTCATATATAGCTGGGGATTAAATTCGTTGAAAAAAGTCCTCTTCAAAAGAAATACGTACAGTCTTTATCTCTACCTTGTTCGTGGTTTGTTTCGTTTATTTTCTCAATCTCCTGTCTTTGTTAGATTAATCTTTACACTCTTATATTGTCATTATTTTTCGATAACGCTATTAGAAGACAAAGATTATTTGAAAAATGTGATGTATTTGCGCAATACATTTCGAACAATCTGTTCACACATTTACTTGTCAAGTCAATTTATATATGAAAATTAAAGGTCAAATATCGTGAAAATGAAAAGGTTGTGACGCTTCGGCAAACTTAAGTATGCGCCCCTAATTATTCCTGTATAATATCTTAAGATATTTTACAGGAATAATCAGGGGCGCATACTGAAGTTTGCCGAAGCGTTAGCCATTCGTGAACTTAATCCCCGCTGTGTACAAAAACAATTTGTTGTTTCACTTAATTTACCTTGGTAATCCTTATCTGATTATATTACCACGACTAGTGTCACAACCTTTTCACTATATTTGACCTTTAATTTTCATATATAAAATGACTTTACAAGTAAATGTGTGATCGAGCGGATTGTTCGAAATGTATTGCGCAAATACATCACATTTTTCAAATAATCTTTGTCTTCTAATAGCGTTATCGAAATTTATTAAAGGGACTAATTGTTTCAAATTGTCATTTTTATTTTTATTTTTACATTTATTAGTTCCTGGTGTTACTTTTCTTAATCTACCCAATAATCCCAACTTTTATCAAAACATTTACAAAAATATATGTCCATTAATAGTTCATGGTCCAACTCAAGGTCATCAAAAATTGTCGGTCGAGACAAAGTGATTATGGCTAAAAAATCAGGATAATGACTGAAAGGTTAATCAATAATAAGTGATTGCGTAATAATCTATGGCTTGATAGAATAGTTAAGGAAAGTGGGGCAATCCTATTGAAATCAACAACTGCACAGTAAGAAAAGGGGATGAAAAAAATGATGATAAATAAGTCGAAATAAATAAACGAATAAATAAAGTGTTCTAGGGAAATTATGATCAAGGTAAAATTAGATATTAGACGTACCTCTTTTGAAAGCAAAGATCAGGCTTGAACTGATGAGTTGCCAAGACGAATCCGTACTCCCTTGGAAATATTTGATTTGACTTCTTAAATGACTTTAGAGGAAGATTCTGGTGTAGCAAAGTGACTAGGGTTAACAAGTTGCTGAAGAATCTAGTTGTCGATTGGCTTACACTCTCCTTCAGACAGTCATGCAGGATAGTGTTCGAAGATACGTTTGGATAGAACACACTTTGTGCGGTCTACGTAACCAGCTCCACAAGAGTAAGTGAGTTAGTAAGTCCTTACTGCTATTGACTTGGACGATATCCCTCTGATCTTGTCTGTATAGCAAAGAAAAGAATAGATCAAAAACTCTTTAACCATTAGTTTTTTATCAGATTCAATAAATTGTTCGTCTGTTCCATAATGGATTATGATAGAAAATATTTTAAATAAAAAATCCTTATACAAACTATAAATTTTGAATTGAACTGTTAGTTTCGTTGGAAACACTCTTATTCGATCCGTTTTTAATTATCGTTATTGGTATTATTTATACTGGGTGATGATTGAAGATGAAATGAAAATTCGAACCACGACTGGATTCGAACCAGCGACCACCTGGTAGACCACCGGGCCAGAAACACTGTGGTCGCTGGTTCGAATCCAACCGTAGTTCAAATTTTCATCCCACCTTCAATCATCATTCAGTATAAATACTAGTCTGCCAAACTACAGCTATCTCAGATAGTCAAATTATTATTATTAGCTTAATCAATATATCCCACATGCACTGAATGTTAAAAGTTGAAGTTAAGGAAGGTACAAGGTGAATCCTTTGATATACCGTCATAAAACTTGCTTTGATTCAGATAGTTGCTCCATGTGCGCTGATCATGCTCACTTACTGCTTCTCTCATCGTACAGTGTTTATCTTAGTTAAGTCAGAAGAACAATCTACGCAGTTACTGTTTGTTGGATCCGTTACCGTCAGGAATCGTAAACCCCTTGAATAGGTGTAGGTTGACAGAAACTGAGCTCTACTGAAATCCATTGGTAGTGATGCAGTCACTTTCTACCTTATCAACCTTGAATATTATCATTATGCATCTCTTCATCCATTTATTTTATGATTTCTACTAAATTGCGTTTCATTACTTGTTTAGTGTTTCGGTTCCTTTTTCTTTCTACTGAGTAGGAATCCAGCCGTTTAGATTGCCTTTCCCTTTATTCAATCCTACTATTAGTGGGAGATAAATGACTTTCTTATGACAGTTTCCTGAAAAAGTAGTTAAAGTATACATGACCTCTATCTTATCCCCGGGGATTGGGGAGTAGTGGTTGCACACGGCTGAAAAGTCCTTTACTATCCAGTGCTCCCACGTTTTCAATGACCATCTAACTGCCGTCAGTCTGCGATGAATAACACCTGAAAATTGTTTATTTTCTGTCCTTATTTCCTCTGATTCAAGTTAATTTGAGGATGAAATCAGTCTAGTTTCAGGAAGATTTGCTTCCTTATCATTCATATGGAAATCTTTCTTAATCGCTCAAAGGTTGTTTTTTTGAATTATCCAAAATCAGGCTATTCAGATTTGGTAATCAATTCATATAGAACACGTTTATTTGCCAACTGCTTGGACAATGTTGTATATGAATATGACTTGACACAGCTAAATCCTCAACCGGGTAAGCATTGTATTACTTTAAGTTCATTTTTATTCTCTTTATATTCTTGCATTCTCTTCAGAAATGACAACTTTTCTATTTTTAAAATGTTATTGAAATGTTTTTAATCTTTTTGAAGTATTGCCAATTACTTATTTAGTAGAAAACGACAAGACGGAGACGAAAGAAGGAATGTTTATTATTGACGTCTTGTAGAGTAGTCATCAAATATTGTACACCTTCCACTAAGACAGCCATTTGCTCAATGGGCTTCATTTCTGCTTCTGCTTCTATCTTTATTTGCTATGAATATGCCTACATTGTCTCTTGCGTTTCTCTGTGTAGAATCTTTACCCATTGCTGGTAATTGCCTATAATTTCTCCCTTTCTCAACATATACTACTTATAACCATTCTGATCAGCAACACTCACTACAATATATTTTAAGTAATACAAGTATGCTTATCATTTTGATGACTGACTGATACTGCAGTAAGTGTTTGCTGTTTGTGCATTTTAATCAGTCTGCTACAATTTAGTCGACTTAAGGAGTGTAAGTTAATTTTGACTGACTGCAACGGTTATTGCCTTCAAATAAGATTATTAGATTTATGAAGGTCTTGGTTGTAGTGCGTGAAGATGTCATGTGTATTTTTTTTATGATCTGTTCTTATGGTAACTCACTTCACATACCCGAGAAACCGGACTAACCCTGGCAGGTCAGTGACCGACGAAATTTCTGCGCGGTTACAAAAGGCTCTGTTGGCTACCACCTACTTGCACCATTCATGGTACCACCGTGATATCCGACCGCAGACTGAGGGTCGAGTGTACTACGTCCCGTTTACTCTGTTCTGCTATATGGCGTTGAAACACGGCGATTAGAAAGAGGGACTTGACGAGGCTTCAAGTGTTTGACCATCATCGTCTTTGTAGTATTCATAGAAGCTGCGTGTAAAATTTTTGGGATAAAAGAGATATTAGTTGATAAGGTTGTGAACCTTAATTGACTGATAATGGCTAGGACATGCGTTACGTATACATAGTCAGCACTAGTAGTCCCATTGCACATTGTTAACTGCAGTGGGTTAAGGCTGGAAGATTGTTGGATGCTGGTAAGCTGAAACATGGCCTCAGCTCCTAAAGTGTTCGGCTGTTGGTCTTAGCCGTGTGTTTGGAAATGTAGACTGCCTATTTGGGTTCTGTATGACAATAAAACTGGCGCAGATGCGTCCGCATCTAGCTCCATTGTTCCAAACCAGCAGTGGGGTTAGACCACCGGGTTGCCCGATTGCTCCATTTCTCTTTAATTTTACTGTCGATGACATTCTTGAGACGGCTCTGAAGGACGTGCGTGATGGTGGTGTGCATCCACTACCCGGAGGACGGCTATTTGACCTCGAATATGCGGACGATATCGTCTTACACGATCATAATACACAGGCTCGATGTGTTGATATGAGGTGTGGCAATGGGAACCGTTGAGCACTATTACCAAGTCTTATGTTGATTTTGTCTGTCTCTGTATCCTATTGTAAGCAAGTGTAATTTGAATGGTCGGTGGAAATTCGCTGTACTGATAATGACTATGTCAAGTGCATTTTAAACTGCTGATCGAATCGATTTCTTAGTTCATGACTTTGATGCAATTAATTTACTGTGCTCGTGCCAACTGAATCAACTCAAAAGACCGTGCTATACACTGATATTATTATCTGTGCCTTGGGTTCCTAATGGAACATAGGGCTTCAGTAGCACGTCTCCAGCGCGCTCTATTCTCTGAAATCTTTTGAACCTGGCTTCACGACTGCCTAGAAGCTTTCATTTCCTCCTCGCACGATCTCCATGTCACCCTCGGACGCCTCAACTCATCGTCTCCCATCTGGGTTCCACTCGAGGGCCTCTCGCGTGATGTCCCAGTTGGCCTTCTCAGTGAATGCCCAATCCATCTCCATTTCCTTCTGCATATTTGTTGAGCGATAGGTTCTTGCTTCGTTGGTTCGTTCCCAGAGCTCCTTGTTGCTTATTCTTTCTGGCAATCCATCTGAGCTTCAGTAACGAGCCAGTGTAGGCAGTTGTTGATGAATATCTGTAGTTTTTTGGAAATGCCTTTCGTAACGCGCCAAGTCTCGGAACCATATAGGAGCACTGACTTGACGTTGGTGTTGAAAATCCAGATGTTGTTCATGCTTTATGCTGAGTGCAGAAGATCTTCTTACTGGTTTCAGGTTAATGAACGCCTGTGTTGCTGTCTTTCCGACCCTTGCCGGCTTTTACGTCCTCGTCAGTGCCGCCTGTAGTTGAAACGGTGCTGCCTAGATAGGTGAAAGAGGCTACTTCCTTTAAGTTACCCCGTGATGATGATTGGAGCTTCTTGTTGTTGTTGTTGGTTGAGTATCATCATCACCTCTGTCTTCTCTACCTTCAAATACCCAGTTAACGGAGGTTAACAGCCATTCAATAAGTTTCCACCAATGAATGTAAGTTTTGCAGTCTTACCTGTTCTAATAATCGTAAACAGGTAAAGAACATTTGTGTATTGAATTCTGATCGTTAACAATGGATTAATTGATAAGGAAGTAAGGTGACGCTTCAAATTTCTAGAAATCAAACTTCGACATTGTGCTATATATGTTTGATTCAAGTTTCTCATATCTCTAAAACAGAAAGTCAAAAATCCTTATTATCAGTTATCTATCATTTGATATCAAAACGTAGAAAACACCAAGATTATCTGTTGGTTTCAGTTCTAACATTTCACATGAACACTACAAGGAGAATTACCAGCGAGAATGGCATTGAAACGAAATTGTCATCATCAGGATCAAAAAAGAAGAGGGTATAAAAGAGATTTTTAAAAATATAAATGACTCGATTACTTATCGTGACTTAATGAAATTTATGTAAATTTTGAGGGGGTTGTGGAGATTTGGAAATATTTCAAGTTGTTATTCATCGAAGGCTGACATCAGTTGGAGGAACAAAGGAAACCTGGCAGCACTGGACAGCTGTTTCGTCCTAGTATGGGACTCCTCAGCAGTGCGCACTCACGACCCCACCAGCAGGGATCGAACCCGCGACCTTCAGGCTCCGCGACCAGCGCGTTACCATGAGCCACTGGGTCAGAACCCAATGCTCCATATTTCCAACTTCTGTTAGCTCACGATATAGCGCAAACCGCTGTCCAGTGCTCCCAGGTTTCCTTTGTTCCTCCAACTGATGTCAGCCTTCGATGAATGACAACTTGAAATATATGTAGCTGAATTTATTTTCGTTTGATGATTTAGAATAAACTGCACATTATTTCTATTTTCTGGTAGTTGTAGCAGCTCTTATTGAGGAAAATTGTCTTTCATTTTAGATATAACTTCAAAAGAAAGTTGATTTCCTACACCTAGTGAATGGCACCCATATTTCAGTGTTCTTGTTTCAGCATTTAACTGTTATTTAGATAACTGACGCTCTTCTGGTATTCAGTAATGTATCGAACAAGTTCTGACAAAATTCTATCTCGAATTCATTTGAAATCAATTCAAAATTTTAGTTGATTAAAAATGGAATCAAACCGAATTATGTACAGTAAATCCTTTAGTAACTGAACATCAGCATAAGACCTAAAATTACTACATAATGGTTCAGTTTGTGACACGTCGCATCAATACATCAAAATATACAAGGCAACAAACGGAAGATCCAAAAGCATAAAATTCTAATCGAAAATCATAGGAGCTCATAAGAACGAAAGGAGAAGAGGTAAAGAACATGGTGAAGCATGAAATGATGATAATGCATAAATGCATCTAGTCCACTAATATCGATTTTGAACAGTATCACCTGTAGCCTCCAACCACAGATTTCGATTATCACGTGAACTAACAGTTAGGCACTTCATGGACTGATGCCACATCTAAGCATTTAGCTTTCAGTAGAAGCTTAAATAGTTTCCAGTAGAACACAACCTAAGCGTCATGCATACTGTAGCCGATGGGTGCGTAAGGAGAGAGTTTACCACGAGGTCCATTGTTATATTTTGTCAGTTAAACAGTACACATACAAGTTACAGATCGGATACAGTGGTTGAGTTGATCTTTTCTCATAAGAATTTTACTCTATATGTGCATCTACACGACCACTAAAACTAGCAGGGAAATCTCCAAAAAGTTGGTAGTGAATTTTGAAGACTCACCATACTGACGAGGTAAGGTCAAGTGAATAGCCACACTTAGGTTCTGTATGCTCTTTTGAAAAACAAAATACACCTCCATGGGTCGAGAGACAGAAGCTTCGGTTAGTGAGGCTTACAGTTCGATCTTAAAAAGGGTACAGATATTGAAAGTTGCAAGAAGTTGTTTTAATCTCGCTGTTGAAAGATGTTATCAGTTACCTCCATCATTTATCATTTCTGACACCAGGTAACAAATAGTGACAGTTAGTTGTGATGAAAAGTATTTGGATTGAGTTCTGATCATTTACCTCTTATTTACTCTGCACTAAAGATAGGTTTTATTACCATACCCTTACATGAGCTCGTGTTTGAAACAAATATCTCAACCTTGACCTTTCTCAGTCTTGAGATCTTTTTTAACGTTTAAGGTGAAATAATTATTATATCGCCAAGACCTAATCTGTGTATGATAAAATACCCTGATTGATCACTGGAGAGCAACGAATCTCATATTGTCTAATCGTCAGTGCTGACCGAATTCTATCGATTATTTTGCAGTGTGGCCACCAAACTAGAAAGCTCATCATGGTTGAATATGTGCCATAATCTACGCGTATATTTTACAAAATAACTATTGGGGTATCCATTATAATAAATCTTCCCATTTTACATTTCAGTTTTTTCTATACTGGCCATATGACGGGTTCCTTCTACGTGAAATTAGACATCAGTCCAGATGATTCATTCATAGTCTGTGGTAGCTCAGACCGTCGTGCACATATTTACGCTATTGGTAAACGTCAGCAACAACCGGTAGTTCTGTCTGGTCATACAGGTGAAGTTAGTGTTCCTCGATGGTGTAAAGGTGATCCTAGTAGGATTGTAACTCTATCAGATGAATCTCAAGCTTTTGTTTGGAATATGTTTCCTGCTAGGCGATACACGCTACCGGAGCCAGGTGAATTAGCAGGTAAGCGCCTTATTTTAATAGTGGATACACTAGATTGTCTTATTGTTAACTTATTTGAAAAATGATCATATTTCTAGAAGTTCACAATGTTGTGATAAGTTTTTTAAAAAATATGATAAATCATAAAGAGAAATGCAGTCTATTATTTTAGGTGTCTGTGCATGGAAATTAAATCTTAACCTTTTAACTCAACTAATAGAGCTTACTAAATTCAACTGTAATTGAGCCTTCTCCTCACCTTCAATAAAGCTGTGGCTCATTGTTTTACAGAGATGACTTTCAATCAGTGGATCACAAGTTTGTACTCTACTGAGGTTTGGTCAGCAAGGTAGTATCATTCGTCATCAAAAATAGATATAGCTCATTGTCTCAACTACACAAACATGCACAAGATTGATGGGCGCATTCCACTTTTTATTTCATTCATCGTCAATTTGTATCGGCAAAGTATTGTTTACTAATTCTTTTCCGTATTACTTTTTTCAATGAAATTATACAATGTTCAGTTCTAACTTTTGAATTTGTACAAACTGAAGATAACATAGATCAAACTTAGTTTTCTTAGATAGGAGTGTTTAAAAGACTCAAACCTTTAACCGATAGAAATATTCATATTCGTCATTCTTGTTATATATACGTTTCAGTGGCATCGCTACCCTATTCACTTTCTCAATGTAAATAATTGATTTAGATATTGGTTGTTGTCATGGTGTTTTTCACCATCCATTAAACTAGTTATTCAACGCCTAACTGGAGGTAGAGTACAGCATACTTACTGATCAGCGGCCGACACTTGCCATAAATCTTGACCTGAAGGTGTCATTCGACCTTGTCGACCGTGAGGTCACAGTGTCTGACTGTGAAAAGAGTACCGAGCTAGGATGTAATGCTAATCAAAGCTCTCTACTCAAACTCACGCAGACGTGTAAGGGCTTATGGAGAGTTTTCACCTAAAGTGTTCTCTGTTAGGGACGCTGACTGTCACTGTTCCTGTTTAACTTCCATATAGACACACTAATGGACATAACCTTAGATGCCTCTGACTTTACAGGGACTGACCTACTTCCTGGAGGGGAACTTGGGTATGCAGACGATATTGTCTTACTGGATGAAGAATCTGACAAAATTCATGGTCTTGCAAACGCGTTAAGCGAAAACCTCCATGTTTGACATGCTTATCGCATTTGTCAAGTATAAAATGATGCTTTGGGACTGGTCTGCTGCAACTAATCCTAGTCTAGAGATAGGGAGTGCACTGGTGGGATGCGTCAACTACTTTACTTACTTGGAGAGTTGTATCAGCCCAAATGGGTTGGTTGCTGACGAAATCTCAGCTGAGTTACAGAAAGCTCGATCGGCATTGTCAATTCGCATCATATGTTGCCCCAACTAGCAAGATATCCGACTGTCTGTAAAAGGACGAGTATACCGCGGTACAGTTCATTCTATCCTGTTATGCGGATTTGTGGCATGGCCGTCTAAAGTGGAAGATATGAAGCGGTTGCAGGTTTCCGATCACACATGTCTACGTAGTAAATTCACCTTTGATGGATTCACCGTGTGAGCAATGTTGAGGTCAGAAGAAGGATACTAAGTATGGAATTCAAGTCAATTGATGACATGGTTTACCTTCATCGACTGTGTCTTGGACATGTACTGGGTATGCCGATCCACCGCCTACCTCGATGTGTCATATTAGGGGAAGTTGAGTCAGGTTAGAATAGAGTTCAGGGTGGCCAGACTAACATGTGTCACCAGTCGATGAAGTCCCTGACTATTGGTCTGAGCTATGTAGGGAGGTGAAAACTGCTGCATGAATGTGTACAAAGTTGCTGAGTTGATTTTGAATTCGATCTGTTGATTTCAGAATTTCCACAAATAGTTTTCAGTCACACTGATATTAATCTTTACGAACTAGCTGATAATAAACCTTGCAGTGACATAAGCCTCAATGAAAGTTTGTTCAAAGTATATATTTTCATTTTCATGCGGACACTACTGACATGTTAATTTTACGTCATCGGTGTTTACTATTTAATGTTGTCAATGGTCATTAGTTTTTCTAGAATTATCCCATTTAGGTTAAGAAAAAAATGATTAAAATATCCTCTTTGAAATACCAGGTTATTTTATTGCTTTTGACGTTTTAATTTATCCCCCAGGTCTTGCTGAACGCGTTTCACCGTCGAAATCACTTATGAACCTGAATAATCTAGAAAAGCTTATTTTTTGCTCATCTACGTCACAATCAAGTGATGTCAACAATTCAGGCAATTTGTCTTTACCCGATCTAAATTCTCGATCTCCTGTGACATCTGCTCGTCGACGACAATCAAATATTCGCCACTTCCTTGAGGCAATTTCACCCCAGTTAACTCATCTACTACTTCAGCATCTAACAAATCTCTAGTTGCTCTGCCTTCACTTTCAAATAATCCCATCACATCTGTTTCAACTGTACATTCTAACTTTCAAACTAAGCGATTACCCAGTTTAGCCACACTCACTGAAACATTAGGCGGAGTTGTTCAGCGATTCCAGGATTGTCAAATATACATTCTGCACCCAGTACACCACCATTAGGATGTTATTCTTTGGGTTCAGCCAATCGTAGTCCATTTATGAACACACCAACGAAAGTGGGATCTTCCATAACGCCGGAACAGTTTCTTATTCATCCATACTATACGGGTAAGAGGACTTCATGTACAAAGTTTTCATTATCCTTTCGTTCAACAGCATAATATATGGTTCCCTGATCATCTATGATTCAGAGTCATTAAAAGTAGAACCAATAGATGATTCTTAATATTGTTAAAAGGATTGCTTGTTTATGGTAAATCTATAAGCCTATTTTATACTTTTGAACTTCACAAGGTGTTCTAGTCTATGTGTTCCGTAGAATCAACGTTTTCTGGAAACTAATAAAAGCTGTAGGAAAGTTGGTTCTCTACGAGTTTTATGAGATGTTCTACAGTTTAAGGAGAGTGAGAAAATTGTCTAGTTTTCCGATCCAGTTTATATAATCCGATAACTTGTACAATTAGTGTACTACATTTACAGTTTGAAAGGCTTACGTACTCATAAACTGCTAGTAGTAGAGTGCTCTATTCCTTCGTAAAATTGTCGAATTCTTTCTGAAGTTACTGCTCACGAAGCCATCAAGTTTGGTGGTAAAATATGCACGACAAAATATCAAAAACGTAAACAACACGGAAGCACTTTGTTCTTTATACCCTTTTCTGAAAACTCTTGTCAGACAAACAAATCAACTTAGAACCTGGCATAGAAGTACATCAGTTCGGTCTGCCACACTTCACTGTAGCATTGAAAAAAAAGGACCAATATTAAAGTAGATAAAGATTTATAGGAAGAGAGAAAATTTAAAAATTGTTAGTCAAAGCTTTCAAGCTTTAGATGTCAAGGAGTGAATACATCTGCGCCATCGTGACCGATTTCCAGCCATTTCACCAGGAGTTCTCAACCACTGATTTCTGTCGTCGCAGCCACCCCAATTACGTAGTCTACATCTCCCCGCAAAACTCAGACCAGTAGTCAGGGTTCAGAGAACGCAATACAACCAAGACCATCCACCTGAGTTACAAAATATTCTCCATTACTGGTGCCATATGTTAGTCTGGCCACCCTGAACTCTATTCTAACCTGACTCAACTTCCCCTAATATGGCACATCGAGGTAGGCGGTGGATCGGCATACCCAGTACATGTCCAAGACACAGTCGATGAAGGTAAACCATGTCATCAATTGACTTGAATTCCATACTTAGTATCCTTCTTCTGACCTCAACATTGCTCACACGGTGAATCCATCAAAGGTGAATTTACTACGTAGACATGTGTGATCGGAAACCTGCAACCGCTTCATATCTTCCACTTTAGACGGCCATGCCACAAATCCGCATAACAGGATAGAATGAACTGTACCGCGGTATACTCGTCCTTTTACAGACAGTCGGATATTTTGCTAGTTGGGGCAACATATGATGCGAATTGACAAATGCCGATCGAGGTTTTTGTAACTCAGCTGAGATTTCGTCAGCAACCAACCCATTTGGGCTGATGCAACTCCCGAAGCATCACTTCACTTTCTATCCTTCAATTAAGATTTGGTGCAGACTGATCACAAAGCATCATCTTACGTCTAGCGGGTACGAAACCCTTGCCAAGTATGCTCGGAGTTTCGTTCAAGGTGTTTAGAAAACTGCATTGTGTCATCGCCTAGCAAGATAGTGTCATCTTCTTACTATAAGTCAACCAGGTACTTTCCTTGGAGAAAGCCAATCTTTGATCTGAGGTTACGTAAGGTTTTGTCTATTAGCACTTCTTTACCGAAGTTAAAAGCAAGTGATGACGGTGAATATGGCTGTGTTAGCTCCATTTGAATGTTTTGGTTATAATTACATCCTTTCTCTGTTCTCAGTAAGACCTCCCAATTGACAGAGTTGGATGCAACCTTCAGATCAAGAAATATGGTAAGTGTTAGGCGCCGGTAAGTAGGTCTGGGTTGCACAACTTGTCGAATGGTGATGGTCTAATCAATAAAGCCTCGTCCAGGTATGAAATGTATCTGGTTTTTTCCAGTTTGTTATTCTTGAGCACTGGTTGAGTTAGAGTCACAACTGTGAATCCTAGAATCGTGGGCATGATGTTAGGGTAATCCCCCTATGATCGTCCGAAACGATCTCATTACTTCCTTGTAAATAGGAATGACCAGTGATCTAGACTAATCTGACCATACTAGCTCTGATTTCCATACAGTCGCTAGCCCTTCTTTTACTGTATTGCGTGATTTTTTACATGCATCCTAAACAACCTCCAGCAGCAATCCCTTAAATCTTACTGATTTGGATCACTTTGGTTTGAAGCAACCTTTTTAACGTCAACGATATTTAGAGGACTGACATCTACGTTCGATTCGCTTTATGGTTAGTCAACCGAAAGCATTTCCATGTCCCAGTTTAAATGTTCTTTGAAATGTTCCACTCAACTTTCTACCCACCTATGCTGAAAAGTTATCACAGGCCTATCCTTTTCTGTTATTGTCTCACCAACGGTCGTCGTCTTCTTTGTGGGGATGTGGCTCAGTGTTTTAGGGAGATGACTATTAACTAGTAGGTCACGGGTTCGAACCCCACTCCACCGAGGTTTGAGCAGCCAGGTAGTATTACTTTCCCACATACAATAGGTATAGCTCATTGTCCACTGCACGAATGTGCATGAGGTTGCTGAGTGCGTTTATTTATATTCATTTTATTTTAGTCTTCTTTCCGGTTTCCAAGTTGGCTTAATTAATTGCTGTTAACTACTACCCCGATCCTAATGCCCTCTTTATCGCTTTCGCTACCCACCATCTCTGAAGTTCATTTCAAAGACTCGTAGTCACATTATGTTCAAATCGCCTTCTCTGTTAATCGTGAACCTAGCTAGCTGAAACAAAGTCTTCTCGCACCAGTCGGTTCGAATGGGGTTGCAGAAGTCCATTGGCTTTCGCTAACCTTTGGTTATAGGTTATAAGCCTTATTTATCGCTTCTTCAATATCACGCTGAGAATGATGCCAAGCTTAACGAAGAAATTAATCTCTGTCACGTTCAGATGAATCCTTAACTATCTCCTCCTGAAGTACACATTTGACTTTCTCAACTTCCAATCGAACACACACAGGTTTGACTGCTGTCTGTTTCTCGTACCCATCAAGGTGCGAACATACAGGGGCCCGTACTAATGCACGATCCAAGAAGATATTCAATAACGTGGGTGATCCTCCCTATGGATGGCTGATAGCGATATTATCTATCTGTGTCCATCGTCGGTTTGATGTTGGTAGATGCCAAGGGAAAAACTGTCCTGATTTTTGGATTTAATGTTGACCAGGAAAAAGTGTCAGGACAAGGTTGCAAGAGACGATCACGATTGTCATTTCGTAAGTATGGGATCCCTTAGATACCTCCAGAATACCTTTACGACCGGACGATTTGAACATTGAAGTCACCTGCTACCATGATAATGTTCAAACGTTTTGCCTGATGTAATAGAATTAACAGCTATTGATAGAAATCATCCTTCTCATCATCTGAACAGCAGTCGATAAAAACGTTAGTAGAATCTACGGATATGCACCAGTAAATATCACTTAACGCTAAACCTACACCAGCGAGTCTCGAACATTAATAAAGTGAATATTGCCTACTTGGTTTGTGCTTAGTTAAACATTGCAGTTAGGAGTAATCCTTGTTCAAACTCCCAATTTAAACGATTGCTAATGCTATTTTTTTTGTGAATGTACCTAATGGCTGATTTTAGTGGTCAGTGAGAGGTATATTTTCAGAAATGTATTAGTTTTTTTAGTATTACTTCGCTTATTCAGTTTCAAGATGCGTCAGTTTTAAATATAACTTTCTGTAGAAGTAAAATAAAACTTACCTACCTAGAATAAAATTGGAATTACTTTTCATCTTTCAGGACTATAAAGGTGATAAATTCAGCTTTTATACCTATATTAGTAGAAGTAATCCTCCATTTGAATGTGTGGTAACTCTATAAAGTAGTTAACAAACGGAATTTATGGTATTTACTGGTTATTTGTGATACAATCGTATGTTTGGGTCATTCTGTACTCACTTCAAATGTTACCGTTGAAAGATCTGCATATAATGCTCCGACCAATGCGTTGTCGTACTTCTTTCGCTCTTTATGCTAATTGTTGAAAGATGGTATATTTCAGTCTTTTCTTCACCAGTTATATATGCAACTGTTGCTTGTCGGTCTAGTTTTCTGATTTTTAACCACTAAAACTCACTATGTTTGACTTGGGAAACTAGTTAGCATTTGAAGCTGCAACTTATTTGTCTAGGTATTTCACTTTCCACCAGTGGGTTATGGGTTCGAACTGTATTCCATTTAGTGAAGTTTGATAGATAGATTGTAACATTATTGCATATGTAACATGTGTGGCTCATTGGCTAGTGTATAAACGTGGTGGCATTATCATATAGGTGACATGTAACCTAGTAAATAGGCTTCAGTGTGTTCAGGACCTGCAGTGTTTCCTATACTTTAATATATGTTTGTATCGATGCACTTTTGAGTGGTGCAGGCAGTTTCAGAAATAGGTTATGTCTGTACTAATGATCCCTTTTTAGTTGTTTTATAACTTAATTGAGAGAATATTTCAATCTGAACATTTTATCATGTACATTTTTTTAAATATCAGAGGACTCAGAAAATATTAATCCGGATGATTTACTACACTCAATTTCGGCTGTTCCTTTGGATTTTGTTGATGGACAAGTTTCAAATCAATCTCCAATCATTCGTTGTTCCATAGACAAATTCCCAGCTGATACTAACTCTCCAAGTACACCTCCAAACGATTGCCATTATCTTCAAATCAGTCTCTTTTTAATACACCACCGCAGTCATCGGTACGTGATCATTAAATTAGTGTTTCATTTACTTATTTGTCATTAACTTTTGATTAATATTATTTAAAATTCATTCGTTTATTGTCTAACACAAAAAAGATGACTACCTTTATATTAAAATCAAAACTGAAGATAGTTGTTACTTCAAGAGATAACGAAGAATTAAATCGCTTCGTTTTTGTTAGATGGCGTTATCTTTGAGAAACTGATGCATTATTATAGCAATTCTAAATCATATTGTAGTGGGCGTTGCTGATAACAACGGATATAAGTAGTATTATCGAGAGGGTGGCAGGAATCGTAGGGAATTACCGACAATGGGTAAGGTTTCTGCCAAGAGCAACGCAGGGGACAACACAGGCGTATTACAGGGGATGCTGCTGATAAGAGTGTAAGAAGAGCCGGTCAAGAGCAAATCAAGACAGGAACGGAGAGGAAACGAAGACATTTGCAAATGTCTGCGTTAGTGCAAGGAGTACCATATGTAACCACTACCATTCCAATTGTTCGTAATAAACATTCTCTCGTCGAGTTGTCTTCTGTTTCTTCAATATCTGTCTAGTCAGTTGGTAGAAAATAACTCATAAAACAATAAATAACACTTTCGATAAATTATCTGCATCGTCCACGAATCAGTCACCAGTGACTAAACGATTGACTGTCACCATCTAACACCGAAATGCAGTGAATCGTAGTGTTGCATCATTTTACTGGGTTAGACCACATTGCAATAACTTGACGGGGAGAATTCGACTAGTGCTAAGCACTAGGGTGTCTCGACAACGGCATCTGTTATCCACTTATGACTGATTTGTGTAATTAAGCGTGTTTTGAGTAGCTTAGCGGTAAAGTCTCTTGCTTCAGCAGTGAATAATGCTGGGTTCCAACTAATGAGTTGACACCAGCTTCTTCATATCGGCATATCCCTCTTGCTAATAGATGGCAACAGGCACAAAACCCAGCTCCAGGGCTCCCTACTGAATGACTCTCACCATCTTACATCAGAATCTGGGCCTAATTTGTAGCCGATATCATGTGTTCTACTTACTGAAATAAAACTCCCGACTTCAATCTCCTGTTTGAATTCTCCTGCATAAAGGCGAAATTCCAAGTTTCATTCTCGTATCTATGTATGATTATGAGCAAAAAAATCATGTTCAAAACAGCATGCAATGCACTCGGTGACGCTGGTTCAAATTTCGGAGAAGACGTCAGTTCTTTTGAGGTTGTAGACATGTCTTGCTGGGGAATCGTCTAAAGTGATCAATCCTTTGTGATGGCCAAAGTAAAGAAAGAAGTTGTACATCCTTTTTTAAAGGCATAATCATGGTGTAGACTTTTGAATTGCTAACGCTTCAGTTATGTCCTGATATTTTCGAGTGACTTGGTCGTAATGTGCACAAAATTTCGAAAGACAAATCAAAAGGAGCCAGATGTCCTGAGCTTACTAAGTATTCTGTTACAGAGGTGAAGATACATTTCCGTTCCTCCCTCCTGTAAGCCAAACTGAATAGTGTTCGCTAGCGCTTCTAACAAGTTGGCGCATGGTACGGCCTATGTGCTCGGCTCCACAGGAGCAAGTAAACTAATGCACTCACACTAAAGTAGCCCAATGCTTTAATTTATCCTTTGCGTGTTGATGAATAAAATTCTGACAGGAGGATATGACCCTAAGATTTGTGGAAAAAATGTTCTCTTTATTGATCTTGATAGTCGCTTCCTAAGGATATCTACCGTATTTTCTCCCTTGAATTCGGGGTTAAACAGTGAAATCTCTTTCGGAGCAGTATGTAAGCTTTCCCTGGCGTTTTTCGGCATTTCATTTTTATCTATAAATCTCACTAGGTATTCATTTTTAACCAAGCCTTTTAGTAATTTCTTTATTGCATCTTCAGCAGTATTCTCCGTGCATATTCTTTGTATTCATGAGGACAGTGAATTGATAAGATTTTTTTTCTGCCCAAGGCGACACAATTTGGAAAGCTTTGTGTATATAGATCTCTGGACTGAACTATCATCTTTCTTTTAGAGCTGGACATCAAGGAAGTGGAATTTTCTGTTTGACTCTACTTGTAGAGTGAAGTTGATAGAGAGATAAGCACTACTGACAGTTTGAAGCAGACTTTTGAGACCAGTATTCTCATCATAGATAGTAGAGGTATCATCTATGTATCTTTTGTAGATATGGAGTTCTTTAAATATCTTTGACACGACTGTGTTTTCCAGATATAAATCAATCAGCTAAGAAGGGTTCCTAGAGGTGATTTCATTCCTATGCCATCTACTTGCCTGTAGGTTTTGTTGTTTGGTCTATAGTGTACATTGAAAATACATCTAAAAAGAAGGTATTGTAAATAATGATTTTGGATACAAATATTTATGTTGGTGAAGCATTTTTAAATATTCAAAGAAATTATCCCCTCCTTGACATATTGACATCCTTAAATAAATCACCAAAGTGAAATGTGTTACAAAATATGATTCACATTTCGATTCTTTACTGGTTCTCAAGTATCTCGTCGAATCACTTTGCGATTGAATGATAAGGAGAATTAGTCATGTCTAGTATTGGACGGAGAGGAACACCTTCTTTATTCACTTTAAGCAGACCGTATAACCAAAGTATCGAAGAACTTGATGAGAGAAGTTGTTCATATAATTCAATGATAAAAAGGGTTTCATCTCCCACTTTTTTAAATGTAGTGTACAATTGAGGCTTGTTTCTTTGGTTAAGGTCTTTCTGAAGTGTCTGTTTTAAAAATTCGTTTTCATCCGATAGAATGAGTGAAAGTTTATCTGTATAATTTGATTTATTCAGTAGCACTATTCTAAAATCTTTGTCAATGTATGTCGTAACTGCGTTTATTTTTTTTTGATCTTTGATTAAAAATTACTCTGGAATGTCTTGTCATTTCTAGTATTTATTCAAAAATGTACAGCTAAAAGAATGAGTTTGTTGAGAAGAACAATTTTTGTTCACTGCAATCGTCTTCTCACTTCCCGTACGATTAAATGGGTTTCTCCGGATGTTGATTAAATACAAATGCATGTCACACATATTGACTATTTTAGATGATCGACTTTTCATACATTCATTTCAGCATAAGAAGCGCATTGTTAAACAGTGAAATGAAGTTATACTATCTGTGTTTACTTTGCATTTGATGAGACAATATTACATAGCCTGAACATTGGGGAGTTCTAGTCTCTTCTTTTTGTTAGTGTGCATGACTGGAATCATCAGCATTCGTTGAACTGTGGTCTTCTATGAATGTTCGATAGTGCCTATAACCAAATTTCTACTATGTTTGATGTTGTCTATGAGAAGAGAGGTCGATCATTTCAACCTTTTGTAAGTCAACATCAAATGAAATCGAAATGTACTCGCCTACCTTGTGCATATTCGTGCAGCATCCAATGAGCCACATCTATTATTTTAGGGCTGATGATAATACCTGGATGCTCAAACCTCAATAGGTGGAGCGGGGCTTGAACCAGTGACCCGTCGATAGGAATTCACCTTTATAAATCAATGAACCACAGCTCCACGTAAATCGCTATCTGGTATTTGAAATGGTTAGCATAGCATATTAGTGGGGAAATCAATCAGCTGGCTTGTTCTAAATAGAGTGAAGCATGCCTTTCTCGAATCTTCTAACTAACCACTACTAAATGTTACATATTTTTTAAATGATTAGAGTATTTAAATACTTCTCAGATCACACTGAAGGATCTTTATCATCGAAATATACACTTTGTGGGAGTTGACCTCAATATTTTTTTTGACACACTTTCAAGCAATATTTCATAGTTTCACCCCCTGGCAATGGTGCACTATTTATGATAAACTCTTACATACCAAGTGAAGCTCAGATTCTAATAAGTAAGTTTGTACTGAATTTCTGAGTCACACTGAATAGATAGTGTTGCATCACAGCTACATTCAGTTACTATTGCAAACTACCTGTATCCACAAGATCGTAATCCTACTTCATATCAATAAATATAATCATTGTTAGTTGAAAACAACAGCTGTTTTAGAATATGCACAATCACTGTAAATGGATACTAACATTATAGCACCCAAGAGAACGTGCAGTCAACTAAGAATATAAGATTTCGAAAGAAATTATCACTGCTTGATTTCTGTTGTGAACTACTTTAAGTACTTTCAGTTACACAGGTTATGATATGGTAGATCTACCTCTTTCTACGCCTGAAGCTGCCTAATTATTAAGAGCGAGTTGTTCTTGAATTGTATTCAACGGTTAGATGAAGTAATTATTTGAAAATTAAATTAAACGATTATCGAAATAAAATAGAGAAACTTTGTGAAACTTTCATACGAAATACTTGAACCACTTTTACAGAGAATACACAATAACGAGCCTTAAAAACTTCGAAGATTATAATGATAATAATAATAATAATTCACTTTATTCCAAACAATAAAACCTAATTATCTTTTTCGCTGGACCTTTGTCATCGTATTTCTTTCGCTCTGGATCCTAAGGTGTTGTGACTGAGTGGATTCATGGGCGGTGGGTATAATGATACTGAGACTCAATAGACACCTCAACCGAATACTGCCACGACCGACCTCCTTCTGTTTCACTGAGCCACGAAAATTAGAAGACAAAAGATGACCTGTGACTACAAGAACAACAATCTCACTAGACATGCATGAAAATCATGATCTGAAAACAATTTCTCTATTGGCTGCCTTTTTTTCCCTACCTATCATAAGGTTTACACTTATTCTTCATTCACCAGTCGATGAAGTCTCTGACTTTTGGTCTGATTCCTGTGGAAAGATGTAGACTACCTGGTTAGGGTACCTTAGACGAAAGGAATCAGTGGTTGAGGACTGAGTCACTCTTGGTGAGGCATAGCTGGAAATCGGTCACAATGTTGCAGATGTATTTCCTCTTTAACGTCTTCTAAAGCTTGAAGATTTACACTAACCGTTGTTTTGAAATTCTTTATTCTCTCACACAACTTCGTCTACTTTGATATCAGTCTTTTTCTACCCATGTGTTCTTTGTATATTACTGTGAAGTGTGGCAAGTTAGACCGATGCATTTGTGTATGAGGTTCTACGTTGATTTTGTCAGTCAGTCAGTCATTCTCGTTAGTAATTTAGTAGTGGACAAGTTGGCGGTATTTCAATTCCTCACCAGTTGTCCCACTCAGTATGTTCAGTAAATTTATCAATGATACTGATTTCATCACTACATTAGTCCCTATAACTATCACTTTTCTATAAAATGTTGCTTATTCCTAATAACTACAGCAGGATAAGTTTTCATACGCCAGTCATTTCAAGTGTCACTTCAGTCATCACTTGCTTAACTGATTCTTCGTTTCAGAGTTTTGTTTCTACCACAATATCATGAAGACAACTCTAAATTTTGTATATCTTATACCTCTTCATATAAGTACTTCAAATCTACACTATCATGCGGAGTTTAGCGTTTTTTTCTTGCCTGTTTTCAGATGTGGGCACTTACATATTCCAACTAAAGCCTGATAAAAACCTACGGCAAGTGCCTTAAAAAAAGTGACCGTCTCTTGCTAATCTTCTTCATCGTTGATTTATGACCGCATAATATATCCGTATCTTTGATCAGATTGGCCTTAGAAGCCCAAAGTAGTGACATTTCCAATCCCTATTTTCACAGTTTATTCTGCCTATGAACAGGGGGATTGCTACAGTTAATCTTTTCGGATGTATTTTTGACTGTATTTGTTGATGACAATTTAGTTTGTCAAAGTGTTTCACTGTGTAATTAGTATGCTGTTAAAAATATCCGTTCCTCGTAGGCGCATACAATTCCCGACTGAATGTTGCGAAAAAGAAAGTATTAGGTATGTGATTCATAGGGTTAACAAGAAATGGTATACCTTGTATTTCTAGCTTTGAGCTTATAAAAGCAGTTGTGCTAAATTATGTATTCTCTATTTGATCTATATCTCAAGTCTATGGATTTGTTTTTCGAAAAACTATTGTCGTTTAAGAGTGGATGGTTTTACTCCTGAAAGTTTGCACTTGAGTATCAAAATGTAAGAGTCACTAACTCATAAAGTGAGAGTGAGTTATTGAGGAAACCTTCTAGTAGAACCTACCATCTTTACTAAATGAAAGTATAAGTCGCAAAACTTTTGAACTAGGTATCCATTCGAATGTATAACGTCAAATATTACTGTAAAGGAACAGACAGGAACTGACTAGTTTTCTCAGCAAAGTCAGTAATTACTGGTGACTGATCCCAACAGATAGTTTTCTGCATGATTGATATATAGTGTTATCTTTGAATGTAGTCTAACCGCTCCACCCTGCTTTATGACACTGTTAACCTCCACCTTTTCTGGAAAGAAATACGAAACAAAGTATTGGCCAACTGGCAAGTGGACAACTGAGTTGCAGACATAAGTTTTCCAACTATCTTACTTATTATCTACAGCTACAAATCATTCTAAAAATCGAAATCTGCTGAGCAACCTTGTGCACTCTCGTGCAGTGTGCAATGAGCCACGCTTATTGTTTGAGGACTAAGAACACTACCTGGTTGCCTCCAAACCTGTCGGTTGCGTGGGGTTTGAACCTGTGATCTATTGGTTAAAAGTCAACTCCCTTAACCAATGAGCCACAGCTCTACTTAACATTCAAATAAACTTAACTTCATAAAGAATAATGATGAGGAATATAAATGAATCTCTGTTTAGTTGTCAGTAAACTTTCACAAGGTTAACTTTCTCAACAAATGAAATTCATTCCTCTGTGTTACACCTTTTCTCGAGAAAGTCAACCTTGTGAAAGTATACTGACAACTATACAGAGATTCAGTTATATTCATCATCATTATTCTTTATGAAGTTAAGTTTATTTGAATGTTAAGTAGAGCTGTGGCTCATTGGTTAAGGGAGTTGACTTTTAACCAATGGATTGCGGGTTTGAACTCCACTCCACCGACCGAGGTTTAGGGGGGCAGCCAGGTAGTGTCATTAGCCCTCAACTAATAGGTGTGGGTCATTGCATTTCACCAAGTCAATAGTCAGTAGTCATTTGAATTCATTCTGATATCCTTCTACTTCTTAGTAATCTATCTCACATGTTCGCCTCAAAGTGCTTGTAAGCATTTTCAATACTTAAAGGATTTTAGAAGCGATCTATTCATTTGTTGTTAATTAGATGCATTGAAATAAAAACTTTTAGTAACAGTTTATATACTCTGCAAAGTAGAGAGATATTTAAACTTGAGGACCCAATGGAAAAACTTTGGATGTTCAGTGGTATCAGGTGCTAGGTTATGTTTTCTTCAAGGTTTCTAAGAGCACAAGTCAGTTCAGCTAGGATATCTTTACTGTCCCAGAACTCTAGAAAGATATGCTCTAACTGACGGTTTTTGTATTGTCAACTTTTCTGCAGTTTGTTACAATTTCATTTCCTGAACTTGCCGTAAATTTATGTAGTTACATTTTTCTTTTTTAGTATAGAGATGATTTATCTCTTATGGAATCAAGGAAGCGGCAAAGGTCAGACCTGGCTGAGACGTCTCCTAGTCTGAGTCCAACGCTTTTCCTGCGTAGTGTTAAGGCAGATATACCAAGTAGTGTAAGTCGCCTCAGGGAAAAACGACGTCGGCTAACTGCATATCCATCGTTTTCACAATCAACTGCATCTCCTACCAGCTCCCCAGTCGTTGCAGTACCTGTAAGTGCTGTTGCGCTGTCATTTTCCTTTTCGGTTTATTTTTTATTCGTTCATGCATATGTGACGCCTTCTGAGTGACTCTACATTTGTCGTACTACAGTTAAACTGATAAAATGATGTTGTAGTGTTCTTGTAGAATTTCAGTCTACCAACTATGGTGAAATTTAGTAATGTTCAAAAATTCTAAATAGCGCTCTTAGCCTCTTTAGTGAAATTGATTGTTTTTAAGAAAGTGAGAATAGTTAATTTGGTTTCTGCATTGATTGGTCACTGAATAGTAACGAGTTTCATATTATCGAGTTTCCGAACTGTGGATCTGTGGCTCAGTGGTTTAGGGAGATGACTATCAACTATTGGATCGCGAGTTCAATCCCCGCTCCACCTCCCTAGGTCTGGCCAGTTAGGTAGCATCACTAATAGGAGTGGTTCACTGCCTGCTACGCGAATGTGCAAAGGGTAGCTGATTGGGCTTAGTTAGTTAGATTGTGCTAGAATTCTATCGATCATTTTTCATTGCAGTCACCAGGCTTGCACAATCACTGTCGTGCTGCACTTTTGATTGATGTTAAGAAGTTGGAGATAATCGATAAGGAATTCTGGACGTGGTCATCGTGATCGATAGCATTCGTCAGCATGGTGTTTCTGTCAGTGATCGATCGAATTTGGTTACCACTAAGAGCCAGAAAAAATGTGATTAATTGCTCTCCAGTGACTAACTGACATATCTAATGCAATCCTGAAGGAGGTCAGTTGCAGTCTGAATAGTTCAGTCACGGTGTTTCTAACTGCAGCACTGGGTGATGCAGGTTCTAACGTTTGAGAAATATTAGTTCTGTCGATGTTACGGATACGCCATTGCTGACGAGTTCTAAACAAGCATGAAACCCAGGTGCAGTGCTTCCTGCTGGTAGTATGCAAACACTTATTATATGTGTATATAACTCCTTTGTAAATGCTCTTGGTTCAAAATTACAACTAGCTGGCTTCAAGAAAAACAATTCATATGCGGATCAAATTGCAACGCTACGCATCATCACAGAACAGAGTATAGAATGCCAGTCAACTCTTTACCTCAACTTCATCGATTTTGAAAAAGCTTTCGACAGCGTCCACCGAGAAGTAATTTCGGAACACTACGGTTTTAGTGCCGCAGGCCTTTATCAACCTCATTCAACAGCTGTATGATGACGCTGCATCCTAAGTGATTCACAATAGAAAGCTCAGTGATGTCTTTGAAGTGAAGACAGGAGTAAGACAATGTTGCCTGCTGTCACCCATGATCTTCCTGATTGTGGTGGACTGGATTACGCAACGAACTGTGAGGAGCGCGAGAAGAGGGGCGTACGCTGGATCGATGAAAATACCCTAGAAAATTCGGATTTCGCCGATGATTTATGTCTAATGTCGCGCAAACTCAAAGATCTACAGGCGAAAACCAACAAGTTGAAAGAAGAGTTAGGGCAGCGAAGATAGGACTTCAAGTGAGTGTAGGGAAGATAGAGGTGATGAAGATACGCAACCAAAAGTAATAGCAGCAACAAGCATCAATCACCATGGACGGGAGAAAGCGAAAGGAAGTTGTCTGTTCCAACTACCTGGGCAGCATCGTTTCAATTGCAGGCGGCACAGATGAGGACGTCAAAGCCAGAATCGGAAAGATTGGATGACAGGCCTTCATTAATCTAAAACCAGTGTGGAGATCGACTTCAGTGCACTCAGCATAAAGTGTGAACAAGATCCTAACTTTCAATACTAACGTCATGTCAGTGCTTTTGTATGGTTCAGAGACTTGGCGCGTTACGAAAAGCATTCCCAAGAAACTGCAGACATACATGAACAACTGCCGTCTAGGCTCACTGGATACTGAAGATTAGATGGCCAAAATAATAAGAATACGTAACAAGGAACTCTGGCCTTGCAACGAATCAACCAAGAACCTCATCACGCAAAAAATATGCAGAAGAATGTGAAGGTGGATTGGACATACACTGAGAAGACCATTTGGGGGCATCACGCACCAGACCGTCGAGTGGAACTCACGTGGGAATGCCATACTGGCCTAATAAAAACTCCAAATTCAAAATGTTCGATTGTATTCTATTTGGAAAGTTATAGTTAAAAATAGGATTGAATTCAAAGTCTGCTACACTGATGTTATAGTACACTAAAGGTAACTGATAAAATAAACACTTTTGGCATTGTATATGTATGGCTCAGACCACTATCTAGTGCAAGGAACCTTCCAAATCAAGTTAAAAGCCTTCAAGGAAGCTGGTGATAGACCTCAGTTCAAGTACAACACTCGGAAACTGAAGGATGAAACTACAAAGGAAATCCTCACGGCAGCCATCAAGACAAAATGGGAGATATCGAGGAACATCCCTGAAGAAACCTGTGTGGAAGAACACTGGAAGTCTTTGAAAGAGATATGGAAAGAAACCTGCACAGCCGTATTAGGAAGGAAGAAGAAAGAAGACAAGGAATGGATCTCGACGGATACCTGGAAGCTGATAGAGGAGAGGAGGATGGTGAAACAGAAGATAAACCAGTGCAAGGACGCTCAACGACAAGAGGAACTGAGTACAATGTATAAAACACTGAACAAAGAAGTGAAGAAGAGTGCACGGAAAGACAAAAGATACTTCTACGAGACACTGGCAAGTGAAGCAGAACAGGCTGCAGGTAAGAGAGACCTGACGACATTGTATTAAATAACCAGGTTGCTATCAGGGAAGAGATCAACACAGATGAAACCAATAAAAGATGAAGAAGGAAATTTAATTACAAAAGAAGAGAAACAGAGGAAACAATGGGCCGACCACTTCAAGAAGCTCTTGAATCGACCACCACCTGCAACTCGTCCAGAAATACCACCTGCAGCCGCTGAATTACAAGTGAACATAAATCCTCCAACGAAAATGGAAGTCCTGAACGCCATAAAGCTACTGAAATGTGGGAAAGCAGCAGGACCAGACGGGATACCGCCAGAAGCACTGAGAACAGATGCAGAAGAAGGAAGACCTCAGTGTTTGCAAGAACTGGCGCGGAATCACCCTCCTATCCACCCCAAGTAAAATATTAAGCCGCATCATCTTGGAGAGGCTAAAGAATGCACTGGATTCAAAACTGCGACCGGAACAGGCAGGCTTCAGGAAGTACAAATCATGTGCGGGCCAAATTGCAATGCTTCGCATCATCATAGAACAGAGCATAGAATGGCAATCAGCTCTCTGCCTCAACTTCATCGACTTTGAGAAGGCCTTTGACAGCGTCGACCGAGAGGTAATTTGGAAACTGCTTCATTACTACGGAGTACCGCAAACCTTTATCCGCCTCATTCAACAACTGTATGAAGATGCCACATGCCAAGTGATTCACAATGGAAAGCTCAGTGATGCTTTTGAAGTGAAGACAGGAGTGAAACAAGGTTGCCTACTATCCCTCATGATATTCCTGATTGTGGTCGACTGGACTGGATCATGCAGCAAACAGTGGGGAGCGAGAAGAGGGGGATACACTGGACTGCGGAAAAGAACCTAGAAGACTTGGATTTCGCCGATGACTTGTGCCTGATGTCACGTAAACTTAAAGATCTGCAGGCGAAAACTAACAAGTTGGCAGAAGAGGCAGGGCAGCGAAGACGGTACTTCAGGTGAATATAGAGAAGACAGAGGTGATGAAGATACCGCACCACCACCATCAACAACAACAACAAACTCCAGTCACCATCAACGGGAGAAACTTAAAGGAAGTAACCTCCTTCACTTATCTAGGAAGCATTGTTTCAACTACAGGCGGGACGGACGAGGACGTCAAAGTCAGAATCGGAAAAGCAAGACAGGCGTTCATTAGCCTGAAAACAGTGTGGAGATCTGCACTCAGCATGCGGAACAATATCCGGATTTTCAACACCAACGTCAAGTCAGTGCTCCTATATGGATCAGAGACTTGGCGCGTCACGAAAGGGATCTCCAATAAACTACAGACATTCATCAACAACTGCTTACACTCGCTACTGAAGATCAGATGGCCAGAAAGAATAAGCAACAAGGAGCTGTGGGAACGAACCAACCAAGAACCTATCAGTCAACAAATATGCAGGAGGAAGTGGAGATGGATTGGCCGTGCACTGAGAAGGCCGACTGAGGACATCACGTGTCAGGCCCTCGAGTGGAACCCCGATGGGAAGCGACGAGTTGGACGTCCGAGGGTGACATGGAGGAGGAAATGAGAGCTTCTGGGCTGTCGTGGAACCATGTTCAAAAGATCTCAGAGAACAGAGTTCACTGGAGACGTGCTACTGAAACCCTATGTTCCACTAGGAACCCAAGAGACTAATAATATAATAATAATATGTATGGCGTTTCTTACAGTGTTTTTGTAGTTCTCATATCTTTATTACACCCATGTGAAGTACTTTAAATTAATTATTAAATACTCTTCGCCTACTTTGAACTTTCATAACACTTTATAAGAAATTGTATTACTTGTATTGATTTTAAAGGCAAGTAACTGCATGTTTTCTTAAACTATGTTTTACTATGCATTACTATTTATCTTTAGTTTTTATTTTTATTCTCACTACTTATTTTTAAACCATTTTCTTTTAAGCAGAACAATCGACGTCGAAGAATGACAACATTATGTCCTTCTGTGCACAATCCAATCACAAAGTATTTCAAAAAGAACAACTAACTCCTTTATTGAAAACATTTTAACTCTTTCAGTATGCATTTACGTGTAAATAACTTCTCTTTAATTACTTCATTTTTATACTTAGAAGGCTTTTTCGTCTTTCGAAAGTTATCCTGCCGCTTATGACGTGTTTAACTTTGATATATTCGAGTCTATCTCTTTATAAAAAGTATTTTGTTCTAAATTAGACTGACATCTATCCAACTGTTATATAAAAAAGACTTATCTTACCGCATATTTTCCTTATTGCTGTTATTTAATTCTTAAAGAATTTTGTAGCTGATTTGTTTACATCACTTTTTACTATTTTATTCATTTCTGGATAGCCAATACCGTAGTATTGGTTTGTAAGACTTGAATCTTTTGGTTAGTTATGGCTAGTAGAAGAACCCAGAACGTGCGTTTCCGCTTGCCACAATCAACCAAGTTATCGTGATTAACATTCAGGCAATATCGAGGCATCCGCATAGGAGCCCATATGTCAATAGAGGTCGGACAATTCGATCCAACAAAACGACGGAGAATAACATGTACGTCAATAAATAGTAGTAACTTGAATCTTTTGCCTAAGATTGAGTTGCATTTACACTAACATTCTGAAAAAGAAGAGTTATCTTTCCTTTGAGTAGGAAAGACTTAATCTTGGCAATAGTTTCTGCAGTAATGTACTGAGTTTCCTTTTCCAACAATACTAGAGGTAACTTGCTAAATAAGGAGTATATGGGGGTCATTCAGACGACAACATATCAGAGCTATCCTTCTATTAACGTTAGTGCACTCTACTTTGTTGTGCCTAGCAGAGGAATCCAGATGCACGTTTCAGCCTATTTGGGACTCATCAGCTGGGTGTCGAACAATTCGATCCAGTAAAACAACGGAGAATTAAAACATATCAATAAATTGTTAATGCACTCTGTTTCACTTTTAAAAACTGTTATTCTGTGGTCACTATCAGCTGCAAACTGCAGCTATCTCAGACTACGTTACACACATTCTGATTTCAGGTATTTTCGATCTTTGTAAGTGGGAAGTAATGATTGATTCCACCGAAACTCAATTCTTTAGCCCTGTACCAGAACAGAAAGTTGCCAAAAATAAGAAATCAGAAGCTTCTTGGAAGAATAAACAAGGAATGCGTTTGCACAAGACTCTCATAAGTAAGAAATTTTTAATGAATAAACAATTTTGCATCAGCTAGGCAAGAGTGACCGAGACATTTTCGGATATCAGTACGTCTGTAAATCAGACCTCATTCTTCCCATCAACTAATGTCACTCGTAACTTCATACAACTTGGCGTTGTAACATTTCAAAAGGCTCCGGAACAGACAAATTGGAAAATAAAGCTGATTAACAGAATATAAATACCTATTAGATCTTCATTCCTGATCCGTTTACGTATGTTCTTAGTCAGTCTGTCCTATTTTAAGGGTTTAAGTTCCACAAATGACTAAAGATAACATATAACCACCTCTCAGTTTTCTGGGGTGCGAAGGAAACCATTGAACCGAGTGTAGCGAACCAAAATATGGCCCTACTTGCAAACAGTTGAAGCAACTGAGCATAACTAGCAACAAGGACCTGAGTGATGATGAACATCGGTACCGATTGCTTCTCGTAAATATGACCGTATCGAAGCAAGAGCGGTTTCTCGACACACCGTTCTCTCCACAAAAACGAAACAGCTATTTTACATATGACAGATCACAGTAAAAATGCCTAGCTTGCAAAAACTAAATGGCTAGTTCAATGCTATCATACAGAATGATCGCCTCATTAACATCAAGGTGAATTCAGATATGCTCAAGAGAACAAGATGCTATAATAAGTCCTCCAGCGGCTCTTGATTCAACCAGGAAGATACCTTACTTTGGTGTATATTGCAGCGGATAGATGGAGTCCATCCTAGCCAAAAACGTTTTCAGGTATTTGGGTCCAAGTTTAAATTCTTTGCGGTGGTTTAAACGACTTTCATTTTCGTTTGAAGGTTAGAGTTACGCCTGCTCAATCAACCACGCGGTATTGTGAATTTCGTTGTTGTTTATCAGTTTCCGAAGTTTGCATTCTATTTTATGGATTATATTTTCATAACCAATGATCAACGAGAGGAATATAAAGGCCAGAGAAGGCCGTCGACTTCCTGCATATGGTGATGTGCAGCGGAATGGCTGGTATCACGAGACATGCAAATAAATGGCCTGGATAAAATAAACACAACACGGGTCCAAGTAGATTTGTTTGCTGTCCTGATAGTAAGTCCAAGATTGCTTTGGAGATTTCGTCAACCCGCTACCGGCGGTCCGGAGAAGGTTGTTGGCCGGATGAAAGAAAGCCTATGAGAAACCGAAAACGACGCATGATGAACAGTAATCTCAGGTTGCTGGTAGTCAGAGGAAGGAAGAATTTCGAAGACCACCAGACTGAGACAGAAGGACAGTATGTTTGATGAAGTAGAGAGGTTGAGAAAAACCACTGCTTTTCCTTTCGTAAGTCCCCCAACAATTTACTCATATCTAGCGATGCATCAAGTGACGTGGCAATTCCACCAAGGAAGGCCACTTCAACTACAGACTAGTCACTCGTTAATCGTAAGAAAAGCAGTCAGCTTTCGGTCTCGGTCAGGTACATGTGATCTACACAGTCCACATCCAGGCCAGATAAACAAACGATTGAGGTAGCTATACCTAAGGATTCGTTAAATAGGAGGTAATCGGAACTGATGCCAAAGCACGTTTACAGATTCACTGAGTTCAGTAATTCCAGGGGAATAGCAGTTAAGAAGCAGTATGCAATCCGTCAAAAAAGAGCCTGCCTGGTGCGAAAATGTCTGTTACCCTCGGTGATAACTTTGTGATCCTGAGGTTTTAAATTGCCTTAAAAGTAAGAGGTGTAGGATGATACACAAGAACATCTGTCGTCAAAAGCTGCCTAAATCAACCCGACAGAAAACGACAAACAGGCTGATCCGTGGTTATGAAATAGCCACAGTGAGAATTTCAAGGATTCTGACACCAAATAGGAACTAAGGATTCCAAAAGACATCCAGAAGTTGAAAATCGTCGGCGTGAGAGCAAGCTGGTCCAAGTGACTCCGGAAAGAACACGTAGATTGTGCAATATCACTACGACACAAAAGAGGCGAAATGCTTGATTTTAACACATCCTTTGAACGTGTGGTGTACTCTTAGATACTTTAAAAATGGTTTCAACCCGCCGTTTCTTGGGTCGATAACAAAACGGACGGGTAATGTCACGTTGTCTGGAAGTAGACATTTCAGGTCGCAAAAGCACATCATATTTTTATCCCCCGATACTTTGCCTGAGCTGCAGGCCATTGTACTGGCTGAATGAACTGACACCACTAAATTTACGCTCGCACTTCTACTGATTCTTCGTTGTGGACCGGACACTAATCAAAAATCAGCTGACCGTTTCACACTATTTCCTTGAAAGATGTTATCAATAACACCATTAAGATGAAATATCCATTTCGTCTGAAAATATTGTTCTAGGAGTGACTTGGTTGACAGATTATATACTGGACATCCCATATTGTATCATACATATTGGTTGGAATAAAGCAATTGTTATCATTTGAACGGAGTTCAGGTTGGGTGCGTTGAAATCTCTGATCATGAGATGGTGTCTGTTTCTGGTCCAACCACTGATACACCCACTCTTGGACAAATTTGTCAGTTGTAGTGCGGTAGATCATGCTAAGAATAGCTGTGCATTACTGTTGGGAAACTTTGTTTGGGTGGTCGCTCCTTTAGGGTCCAGGTGGACCCTGATATATCCGAAGAAACGAGATACCATAGTGGAGTCTAACAGCGTTCGGTTTTGGGGCCTCTCATATTCCCAACTTGCATAAATGCCTTGCATTTGTGGGTATCCTATAAATTTCTTCTCACCACTAGTGATTTGAAGCTACAGAGAGAAATCACAGATGAGAATTATAAGCTCACTCTGTAAGGTGGTTCGATCTGACGTTGACATTAGGCAGATTTTAATGGACTAGCCTTCAGTTCTAAGTTGTTACATATGCATGGTGATGCATGTCATGTATTAAAACTCAACAGTATAGGGTTGAAGGCATTTTTGGCAGATAAGAATGTTGACATCTTAGTCCATCATGGTCTTGGATCCTACGCTAACCGTGGTCAAAATGCGTTCTGTGCAAATCTGGCACTTGCAACTCTGCCAGGAGCCTTTGAACAGTTCGATCACAGTAACTTCTATCAAATCTTTAATGGAGCTCTACACGAGACCTGGGACTATGGTTTTTCACCCTTCCCTTCAAAAGGATGAGAACCATTTTAGAATGTATTCAGAAGCACTGCACTAAACCATTTCATGGAACAAGCCCTGGGCCGCACGATAGACGCATGGCGGCACCCGATCTATGTTCCTTGGAATATGGACAACCAAAATTGGACTTGACGACGATATGCGACACTTTAAATCCTCCTCGTCACCCACTTCGTCATTCGCTCCGGCTAAACTCCAATACGAACCTTAGAGGGAATGCTCAGAAGCCAGACCTTGGAAGTAGTGTGAAGTCGGGCATAACGCCTACTCCCTAAGAGTTCCTAGGGCCTGGAGTACCCTCTCCTTAGGGTTTGTTCAGGCCGAATTATTGGAATCCCATCAACACAAACCTGATATCCACTTGAAGTCATTGTGTGGGTCTGCTTTCTTTTGCATATTCTTTGATTTTACATCTAGGTCCTCAGACATAGAAACTAATAGTACACTAATCCTAGACATGGAAGCCAGTCAAGTGAAAGCTTCTATTCTGTCGACAACTATCTGAAACCACTTTAATCGATTCCTAAGTCAGTGCTTTTTTTCGTAACAGCAACTTGCACTGTAGTATCTCGCGCCTTAGGTTTAAGACTGATGTTCCTACATCGTTGATGGAACATTCTTACACATGTGGGGCAGTCAGTGACGTGAAGAAGCACAAGTATTGATCGCATATAGAATCTGAACCTCTGTGTCT